TGCAGCAAAATGAGTCTTCATGGGGCTAGTGGTGGGCATGAAAGATCAAGAGAGCGAAGAAGGTCAAGTGATAGATCACGTGACTCATCCCATGAACGTCTTGAGTCCCAGCTCACTCCATGCATCAGAAATGTTACTTCACCAACAAGACAACACCAAGGAGGTATGTTTTAGTTATTTACTTTCTAGGTTTTTTTTAAGAAAGTAAATATCTTTGTCAAACATAAACATCTTTTCACTTGGGTTCTTGTGTCACAGACCTAAAATGTGAAAGCTTCAAAATTAACATTATTAAGACTCTCATTGGGAATATTTATTTATTAAATTTATTCACTGCCCATATCTCATGACTCTGGGTAACTTACGATGTGGTATAACAATATAAAAGATTAAAATGGTAAGAGAATAAATACATTAAAAATAAAGAAATATCTAAGATGGTGGATGGTATACCATAGAGTGGAGGAGGAATCTAATAACGCAGTAACCACCTCCAGGATGGCAGAAATATAAAACTCATTCACCATTTAATATTTATAATTTGTGTGAAAGTAAAAATTACTGAGGAAATTACTTAACCCTCGAATACAGAAATGTTTGAGTACAATGTTACACGTGTATGTTCTGTTTGATATGCTGTATTGAAGCCTAAGCATGGAAACTGGTTGTATGACATTTTTCTTCAATCTATCCTCTTCCACGTGTTTTGGATACTGGCAAGCCTTTTGTGATGGAGTATGATGTAATCCAAACTATCTGGAGAGAACTCCATTAGGGAAAACTAGTCTATGGTATCTCAAACTTTAGAATAATCCCATTGCTGGATTATTTTTTAATTAGTTTTTTTGTCCTACCTTTATTACTTTATAAGTAACTCCAGGCAGTAAACACACCTAATGTTAGTGCCAGGAGACTGCCTCTTTTCTCTGACATATCCTGAGGTATTACCCTGAGTTACTACTGGCAACAAACCAACATTAAAAAAAAATGTTTGGTTTAATGTGGAAAAACTGTTGCCATTGTAAATATGCTTTTGAAATATAACATGTTCTGATACTGCAACTCAGTGTTAAATAGTTGTATTATTTTTCCATTGCAGAACGTGAGAAGGATCATAGTTCATCTCGACCAAGCAGCCCTCGTCCTCAGAAAGCTTCTCCGAATGGCTCCGGTAGCAGTCTAGGAAACAGTAGTAGAAACAGTAGCCAGTCAAGCTCAGACGGGAGTTGCAAGAATGCTGGAGAAATGGTTTTTGTGTATGAGAATGCAAAAGAGGGCGCACGGAACATAAGGACTTCAGAGAGAGTAACACTTATAGTGGACAATACTCGATTTGTTGTAGATCCTTCAGTTTTTACTGCACAGCCAAATACAATGCTGGGCAGGTTGGTATTGCTTTTTATTGCATATGTACCATCAGATAGCCCTGTAAATCATGGCTAAAAACAGATGTCTTAGTATTGTGAAATATTTTTGATTTCACTATTTGCTGCTTCTGTCAAAGAGCCATGGTGGTGCAGGGGTTAGAAAGCAGTACTGCAGGCTAATTCTGCTGATTGCCAACTCTTCGATTCTCACTGGCTCAAGGTTGACTCAGCCTTCCGAGGTTGGTAAAATGCGGAGCTGTAGATTGTTGGGGGCAATAGGCTGACTTTGTAAGTTGCTTAGAGAGGGCTGTAAAGCACTGTGAAGCAGTATATACGTCTAACTCAGTGTTTCTCAACCTTGACAACTTTAAGATGGGTGGACTTCAACTCCCAGAATTCCCCAGCCAGCATTTGCTGGCTGGGGAATTCTGGGAGTTGAAGTCCACCCATCTTAAAGTTGTCAAGGTTGAGAAACACTGGTCTAACTGCTATTGCTATTGCTGTCAAACACTTGAGTGTAACATTTCAGATGCAGTTAGTCTCCTTTAATCTGCATTACTGTATTTTTCATGAAGTACAATTTAGCTGTTGTGTGGTTTCTTTTTAGACAAGTCTATCCTTCCTGGAAATAAGACACTTCATGGCTTTTTTCTCAATAATTACTTTTCAAATAATACTTTTGTTATTTTGAAATTACCTAACGTACAATTTTTCAGTGGTGTCAAATTCATTTTGGAGTAGAGTATGTGATAATGAGGATGCATACATTGACAACGCATTTATCTATAGTAAGAGACTTTTTTTTAATACCAAGGGCCACACTTGGTTTTGAATATGTTGTGAGCCTCATTGAAAAAGTAATAGGGGCAGAGAAGGGGAAAGCAAGAAGTAATTAAACAAAACAGCTGGTTTAATTTATATTTAAACTTAAATAAAATGTAACAATGCTGTTATCGTTACCTATTTAATTATTTCCCTCTTATGTTAAACATAATAGTTAGGCAACTTTGGAGAGGCTCTGGTAGCCAAGGCCAAAGTTTGTGGAAAGGGTGGTGATGAACATGATATAAAGCTTAATGTAGTGCATGTTCAGTCTCCGCTAACCTGCTATTTTGAAACATGTCAGTTCAACATTTAATTGCAAATCTTCCAAAAAACAAGAGTGGTTGGCTATTTTAATGTAGGGAAGATCTTTTTTTAAAAAATTAATGTTTCAGCTAGAGAAGGCTCTGAAGAATAGCCTGTTTAATAATACTACTAATGTGGAGATCAGTGTTTTTCCTTACTCATCCAGTTCCACACAAACATCGCTAAAAGTTGCAAAACACTTCTATCTTAAAGTTTGAATTCAGAGATTAATGTTTTTGAATAAATTCATATTTTGCATATAGTAAACATTTCAAAATATTTTTTCCTTTGGATATATGAACATAATATAACCTCTTGTAAAGTCTGCAAATCCCTTAACAGTGCATATTCTGAATTTCCTATAATTCCTTCTAAAGTTTTAGCAAATTGAATTCAAATACTGATATGCTCTGTGTGGATTTTGAATAACATGGGTTTTTCCCCCCTATATATAGGATGTTTGGTTCTGGAAGGGAACATAACTTCACACGGCCCAATGAAAAAGGAGAATATGAAGTGGCTGAAGGAATTGGTTCCACTGTGTTTCGTGCTATCCTGGTGAGATCTCATAAGTTACTGTTCTTCCCACCCTTTCACATTTATGAAATTTAAAAAATTGAAAGTCATTCCTATAAAAGTTTATCATGAGCATCTATAATTTATTTAAATGGTATTCTAAGTACTACTAATACATGCTGCAATTTTATAAAAACTTGGAAAATTCGGGGATAAAGAATTTAGATGTAACTCTGTGATTTTTGAAACTTCTCTGTTCCCACAACTCATGTAATTTGTCTGAATGTCAAAGGATTCTTGGCTTAGTTAAGATACTAGCCATTCCTTTTGGGATTACCATTTATGTGCTCTCTTCTGGAATATGGCAGTGCATTGTTGGGGAAAGCCAGCAATAGTGAGCAAGCTATTTTTCATAAAGTGTGCTTATGATTACTAATATATTAATTGAAAAGACTTTTAAGTGCCCAGAAAAACACCAGAGTTCTGAAACTTCTCAATTATGCTATTTGTAAGTATGAGAGTAGAAGACTGAAGTTGAGAGACAGAATGAAGACATTAAAATCTTTGTCTGATAACATTTCTGAGGGAAGAGACATTTCCTAAGATTCATTAGACATAATGTTAGCCAAGCAATTTGAATTGCTCTCAGAATTTAATTGTTGTTCTAGTTCTATCGTAGTCTCCCTATGACAGGAAGGAGATTGCTTCATTCTGCAGCACCATTGGATACCCAATTTGTGTGCAGCAGCAGAAAAACATGCAAGGATGTAGAAAAATGAAGGGTTATTCTGTACAAATTAAATGTTTTCTCATAAGTCAGTTTCTTTTTTTCTTTTTTAATTTAAGGATTATTACAAGACTGGGGTGATACGTTGTCCTGATGGAATATCTATTCCTGAATTACGAGAAGCGTGTGACTATCTATGTATTTCTTTTGATTATAGTACTATCAAATGTAGAGACCTCAGTAAGTATAACATTGCTCTTAACCTCCTATATGTATATTTTTTAAGATGCTGTTTTCTGCCCATAAACTAATTTTAAGTAATATTTGAGCATTTATCAATTTTAATATCATAAAATAGATTGTGGATTTGGTAGACTATTGTGTTTAGTAATATATACTGAATTTATACCTGTTAAGTGGAGGTTTATATATAAAATTTTATTTCACTCATAGACGAGCCTCATATAGCATATAATAATGCAAAGTATAACCAACAACTCCATATATCTGGACTGTAAAATGGAAAAAATACTTAAAAGTATTAGCATTACAATTACAAATGTCTAACATTAAATATTTCTACTGATTATATAGAAAGAGGATGCAATATAAAATCTATTTAAAAACATTAATAGATTTATTAGAGAACCACAAAAAATGTCACTGAACATAAGCTATCTAAGCTATGGGACATAGAGCTAAAACTTTGCATCGTAACTCTAGAGAACATTGTAGCTCTAAAAACTACATGTAGGAATCATAAATAATATCAAGACTACCAAGCTGTTAATAAAGGGATTCTAGTCTAATAAATAGGCATAGCTTGAACTCTGTTACGTATAAACTTTTCAGTTAGTGAAAAGGTTGGAGAATTTCCAATGTGTATATGCTGAAGGAGAACTTGCTCAGTCGACTCAACTTCTCTAAATTTTCAGAGACCTAAATGTCCCAAGTATAGGATTTTCCTATATTTTTCTTTCAAAACAGTCAAAGTAATGCCCCTTCTATGTTTTGGATACTTTTAATTGAATAAGATATGCTGCAGGTGCTACTGTATGTCTGTGCTGTCAATACTAGGGAGAATTGGAGCACTACTTAGATCAGGCTTTATATCTATTAATATTATTAGATGAGTAATGTATAATTGGAGTCAGAGTTATTATTTGTGTACGTGTGTTTTCGTATTGTCAGCTCAAGATAGCAATTGTACTAATTAGTTCCCTCCTATTTTCCGCACAACAACAACCACCACCCTATGAGGTGACTTGCGCTAAGAGAGAGAGAGAGAGAGACTGGTCCAAAGTCTCCCAGCCAATTTTCATGACTAAGTGAGACCTGGAATTCAGAGTCTCCGGGTTTCAAGAGTAGCACTTTAACTGCTACACCACATTAGCACTCGATATTTGCTGCTTCGGCACAGAGCTGGCTTAATCAAATCTCAAGGATAGTAAATAAGGAAGGAGAGAGTCTTAGACAACTTTATTTATCTAACAGAAATTACTTCCAAACAGACTGGAATTCATCCTCCACAGTTAGGCAAACTTTTTTTTGCCAAAAGGCAAAAATATATATTTTAGCTAATAGTTTAATATTAATATTTTAGCCTCTAGTCACCGCAGTCTTTAGAGGTAGTGTACATTTAGTGAGACAGTGGGGGGGGGGGGGCTGGATTATTCAGTTATTTACTATTAATGTTAGTACTATTTTTACTATTATTATTATTATTTAATATATTGTAAAAAGTGATGGCTATTGCTGGTCTATGACCGTAATAAAGTTTATAATTTAAAAAAAATTAATTAAAAAATTAATTCAGTTTAAACCTTTAGATTAAGCTTTCTTTAGAAAGGCAAAGTGAAATATGGACCGAAAGCCCCCCATAAAACATCGATGGCATTATTCTTGTTCAATGTAGCAGGTAAATTACTAGTCCTTTTTGTTTGCTATATTAATGGTGATAAATACAGTCCTTTGAACTCTTTGGGTAGTGTAGCATGAGACCTTCTACTACTAGAAGAATGAAAAATATTGAAAGTATGTTACCTGCTCAAAAAACTATCTGACTATTTGCAAGGCATGATTTTTGAGGTGCCTGGAAAACCCTAATAATTTTGATGTGTTGATTAATTCTTGTGTTACATTATTTTGGTCCATCTTATTTATCTTTATATGCAAGTCAGAGATGCCTTGTAAACATCAGCAATTACTGTTCTAAGCCCAGAAGCTAGGAAGTACCAAGGTAACATATTTAAAATCTTTGAGCATCATTTAGCAATTATGAGAACTATGAGATAATAGTAATGTTGCACGTCTGTTGTGCCAAAGGTAATATTTTTATTGAAGCAATTAATAATGGCTCATTAACATTCAGCTCAGCATTCTTATGAACAGAGAGTAATGAATTTGATTGCTCTCATTTCAGGTGCTCTCATGCATGAGTTATCAAATGATGGTGCTCGGAAACAATTTGAATTTTACCTTGAAGAAATGATACTGCCACTGATGGTAGCCAGTGCTCAGAGCGGGGAAAGAGAATGTCATATTGTAGTGCTCACTGATGATGATGTTGTTGATTGGGATGAAGAGTACCCACCTCAAATGGGAGAAGAATATTCTCAAAGTAAGTAAGCTGGTTTTGGGACCTAAGCTTAGTTAATTAATTAAGTTAAGTGGTTGTGGCGCACCATTTCCAAAGAACATACCATGAACTTAAAGCAACATTCAGTTTTTCAGTAAACCTGCAATGAAGTATTTTTTTCACGAATTGTAAAGAAAAGTAACATAAGTATCTCATTCCCTTTTCTATATAATAAATTGTATCATTAATTTTTAAATTAATCACCTCAAATTAGTTACCTCAAAATGGCGCCGCCAACGGTGGCCCGGTGAAATGCTCTCTGATAGTTCTGTTGTTGTTTTTATTATTCTCTGTGATTCACTTCGGATTTCATACTCAAGAGACCAACTGTTAAGCACCAAGCAGTGTTTTTTTAATGGGTAGCTTTCTGAGACGACACCCTCCTCCCTTTTTTTATAAACACAAAAGAGATTCTCATCCAGAAAAAAATAGCTGTCTCTGAACAATGGAAAAACAAAAACAAAAGGAGATGACAGAGGCGAGAAGGGATAAGCGAGCAACGATTTTGAATAGACTAAGGAAAAGGGGAATAAAAATTCCTCTTCATACACTCTTTCTGACTAATTTAAGTTCATTCACCAATAATATGGAAGAAATACTTCTTTTAAACAGATGCAGCTCTGATTTTTACAACTCAGCAGCTCTCTGCTTCACTGAAACCTGGCTAAATGAGCCAATTGATGATAGCAACTTGCATACCCCAGGATTTCAGATACAGAGGGCAGACAGAATTACAGAAACATCTGGTTTTACTGTAGGTTTGAGAGGAAACCACTGTCACCTATCTCTACCATCCCCATCTCAGATACACCAACAACGGCCAAGCCTCCTACAACTGACCTCATCCCTTTGGGCCCCCCACCTCTGGTGATTATAGAAAACGATGTGCAAGGTCTATTTCACAGACAAAAGTCTGGAAAAGCACCAAGCCCAAATGAGATAAATCCTTTTTGCTTGAAAGCATGTGCCGATCAACTGGCCCTCATCTTCATCCGCATCATTAACAAATCACTAGAGTTGTGCTGAGGTTCCTTCTTGCTTCAAATGCTCTACTATCATCCCAGCACTAAAAAACCCCCATAAGGAACTGAATGACTACAGACCGGTTGCTTTGACATCTGTAGTTGAAAACCTTTGAAAGGCTAGTGCTGGCCCACCTGAAAACCATCACAGATCCACTGTTAAACCCCTTGCAATTTGCCTACCAAGCAAATAGATCGGCAGTTGATGTTAATATGGCTCTGCACTACATCCCATAACTTTTTGTATCGCCAAAGACCTATGCAAGAGTCCTTTTTGTAGACTTCAGCTCGGCATTCAATATCATCATTCCAGATATTCTTCTCACTAAACTAAATCAGCTAGCCATGCCTGACCACACTTGTAAGTGAATCATAAGTTTTCTAACAAACAGGAAGCAGCAGATGAAGTTAGGCAAAATCATATCAGATACCTGTATAATAACACATGGGGTCCCCAGGGTTGTGTGCTCTCGCCTCTTCTCTCTATATACCAATGATGGTATCTCATGATCCCTCTATTAAAGTACTGAGGTTTGCAGATGATACAACAGTGATTGGTCTCATTTGAGACAACGATGAATCTGCATACATATGGGAGGTTGAACAACTAGCCTTGTAGTGCGTCCGGAACAATCTTGAACTAAACACACTCAAAACTATAGAAATGATAGTAGATTTTAGGAGAAACCCTCCTATAGTACCACCTCTTGCAATACTAGACCAGTATCAACAGTAGAGACCTTATAAGTTTCTAGGTTTTATAATATTTCAAGATTTAAAATGGACACCTAACATCAAAAGTGTCATCAAAAAAGCACAACAAAGAATTTTCTTTGTGAGACAACTCAGAAAGCTCAGACTGCCCAAGGAACCTCTGATACAGTTCTACAGAGGAATTATTGAGTCTCTCATCTGCACTTCTATAACTGTCTGGTTTGGCACTGCAACCAAACAAGACACAGACTTCAGTGGATAAATAGAACCACAGAAAAAACAATTGCTACCAACCTGCCTTCCGTTGAGGACCTGTATACTGCACAATCCAGAAAGAGGGCTGTGAAAATATCTATAGACTCTTACATCCTGGACATAAACTGTTTCAGCTTCTACCCTCAAAACGATGCTATAGGGCATTGCAAACCAGAACAACTAGACACAAGGACAGTTTTCTTCTCCCCCATGTCATTACTCTGCTAAACAACTAATTCCCACAACACTGTCAAACTACCTAGTAAGGCTGTATTACTATTCTTCTCTTCTTTCCTATTACCCATCTCCTTATCTCCTTACGACTATAACTTTGTTGCTTGTATCTTACGATTTATATTATTTTATTTAGTATCCATATGATTTATGTTGATTGCTTATTTGATATCCTATGACTATCACTAAGTGTTGTATCTTATGATTTATGATGACTATGATCATGATTTATCACATTGTTTTATGTACACTGAGAGCTTATGCAGTGGAGACAAATTCCTTGTGTGTCTAATCACACTTGGTCAATAAAGAATTCTAGTCTAGTCTAGTCTATTTATATGTACTACAGTACATCAATATAGAGCAGGGATGATCAGCTTTGAATAAATTTAAAGCTGCATAAGGCTTGGTGTGGTAGGTTATTTTTGGACTCCAGAAATAAATAACGCTGGGGTCTATTCTGGGAGAGGGATTCAGAATTCAGAATGGTTCCTTAAGCATCTTCAAGCTTAACTATCCATTTTGCTTCTTTAATTCCCCTGCCCCCCCCCCCCATTACAGTAAAAAGTGTCTAAATGTTTGGCTCTACTTACATTGTAATATTTGGGAGGCATAAAAGAGATATAGGTGAGCCTCTTGGGCAATACTTTTTTACTTCTGCTATACTACATCCTTGCTTTTTTTTTACTTCAGGCTCCTTATGAGAAATATAAATGGCAATATATTGTAAAAGCTTTTTTTAGAATACAAAATTCAGTATTCATATATCATAGTTTAAGCTGGTTCAGCATATAGTTTTATGAAACAGAGGTACACGGAAGTTTGTGCATGCTAGCATCATCTCCAAATCCATATGTGCTTTGGCCCTACCTCGGATCATTCTGCATTTTGCAGACATGCATCATTTACTAGACGTAATTCTTATGGTAATTCACCACATTGAGTGATGTTTCCTGTGCCCTGTCAAATCTGTCATTTGGAGAATTGTAGGTATAGTTGGCTTATAATCACATTGTTCCGTTTGAGTGTTACAATGTAGTCAGTGTGTAGGAGGTATATTGGACTGGATTACCATGTTGGATCCCTCCTCAATCTATTAAAACATGGATTCTTAGATAATATAAATAATGTTATGCGTATTTTTAAAATATGTTTTAAAATATGTTTCAAAATGCATTAGTTGTATACTGGCTATATACAGTTTATTTATTTCATGAAATGTATTTTCTCCCCAGTTATTTATAGCACAAAGTTATATAGGTTCTTCAAGTATATTGAGAACAGAGATGTGGCCAAATCAGTACTGAAGGAAAGGGGTCTTAAGAAGATTCGATTAGGTATAGAAGGTAAGATAATTTGATATTTTTGACTAATCCAACATGTAGTGAAAAACTAGGATGTAGACCAGGGGTAGTCAACCTTGGCTCTTTTATGACTCGTGGACTTCAACTTCCAGAATTCCTGAGCCAGCTAAGCTGGCTCAGGAATTCTGGGAATTGAAGTCCACGAGTCATAAAAGAGCCAAGGTTGACTACCCCTGATGTAGACACTTATGATCTAAAACCACTGTGAAATAAGAGGGAGTACAGGTAGTCCTTGTTAACAACAACACTTGCAGCTGCCTACCGGCTTCCCCATTGATTTTGCTTATCAGAAGCTGGCAGTGGAAGTTGCAAATGGCAATCACATGAACGCAGGGGTGCTGCAACAGCCAGAACCTTGAGGAGAAGTTGTAAGTACCCTATTTTAGCGCTGTCATAAGATTGAACAGTCACTGAACAAGTGGGTCTTAAATGAGGACCACATAATACTGCAACATGGTGACTTCAAAAAAAGAGATAAGCCTTGGCCAGTCACTGTGTTGTCTTTTCTTCAGTACTGTGTCTTATCCAGATAAACAGAAGTTCTGCTTAAGTTTAAGGCTTATTCTTATACAGAAACGTAGTTTGAAATTTCAACTTAGACTGAATCGTTTATCTTTTGTGAAGTGAATCTAATTACAAAAAGTTTTGAAAGTAGAGTGTCAATAAAACTGCAATGAACAGTGGAGGAAGGATTTACAAAATGGAGTGCCTTAAATATGCTGAATAAATAAAATACTTTGTTGAATAATATGCTGTATTCTACCTCAGAGTTCTCAAGCATTGAGTGAAATAAAATTATAACCGTTATTGGTATATTTTTTTTTAGGTTATCCCACATACAAAGAAAAAGTTAAGAAGCGACCTGGTGGTAGACCAGAGGTAATCTATAATTATGTCCAAAGACCGTTCATAAGGATGTCATGGGAGAAGGAAGAAGGGAAAAGTCGCCATGTTGACTTCCAGTGTGTGAAAAGTAAATCAATTACCAACCTAGCAGCAGCTGCAGCAGACATTCCCCAGGACCAGCTAGTAGTGATGCACCCTACACCCCAGGTGGATGAGCTAGATATTCTACCAATTCATCCTCAACCAAGCAACAGCGATACAGATCCTGAAGGACAGAACTTACCACTCTGATCCAAACTGCTGGTTAAACAAAAGCATGCTATTATAAAAAAAAAAATTGAAGATGCTGTAATGAGCTCATACTGCACTGCAATTCCAGCTTCTCTCCATTGTGTAATGAACATAAAATGTTTCAGGATATTGCAGTATGGACTTCACAAAGACCAAAGTGGGATCTGATTATGGTTTGTAGGAGTACATATGTAACATCATGAGGTTCAGTTACATACCTGCATTTGTTTCCCAGTAAGTAGCTTTTGTGGTATTGGTTGTATGGTGGACTATTATTAGCCTCAAACTCTTGTCAAAAACAGCAGGATTTGGAAGCTATGGTTTCTTCAGTATTTTGGTACTCAGTGGGCAAAATGCAGATTTAAAATTGATAGTGGCACTTTATAAATGGTAGACAAAAAATATTCTCAAAGCCATTTTTATAGTCTGGGTGCAGAATGTTGATTCTAACAGAGTGCTGCTTTCAGAGATTATTCAGCAAAATGTAAATAGTTCTGAGTAGGGGCAATAGGTTACTTAACTTGTTCTCTAATGGATGAGCACAACATTCTTGCCACTGGGACTTTTGGATTGTGATCCAACAGCCTCCTTTTTTCAGAATTATCCAGTGAATTTTTTTCCATGTTTTGATGTGAGCCATGTTGAAGGGTCAGGAACAACTGATATGGGCTTTATCTTTAAAAAAATGCCTTATCTTAAATCTGTTCACAGAAATATTTATTTACTGAGAGGTTTTTCATGTGTCATAGAATAGAAAAATGCAAATTGTTCACTCTTCACTTAATAACTGATTGTAAACAAGTTTTTCATTCAAATAAAATTTCCATTATTTTAATATTAGCAGTAATATAATTTATTCATTCTTCTGAAATTGATTAACAGTCTACGTTGTTTACATTTTACAGAAAAAATAATCAGATCATCTATTTAATACGGAGTGGCTTGCTTTTTCTATGATTCCCCATTTTTCGGACTTTTCCTTGGAAAATAAGGCAAAATAGGGCAATTCATGAGATTTTGGAAATTCTCATGATATGGTTATCTGACTGCTTTTGACTAGAATTGACTTCCATCAAATATTTTGTAGAATTAGACTAATAACTTTGGATTGGTTGACAGGGTCAATTGACCTTTGATATTTGTGTAACATATTAATGTCATCTGCATTGACCAATTAAATTCATTGGGAACAAGGCTATTGTTTTTAATAAGGGATAAATTGAGCTGGCAGAATTTATCTAATTTTGGCACAATGTAAAACCACTATATTCTTTTGAATAAAAAATTGAGGCTTAGAGGTGTACATAAATTATGAATAGGAAACTTAAGTGCCTTTCCATAATGCCTGTAAAGTATTTCTGAAATAAATTGGAAACGATGCTACAGAGCATGGGGCATCATGAATATAGTTTATGTCTGCAACACCTTAAAGCAGGGGTGTCAAACTGCCGGCTCGCAGGCCAGATGCGTCGTGCTGAAACCGCGCCCACCCCATTGCCGGCAATGGAAAAAAAAAGTCACGATACATTGCTAGATGTCACGTGATGTTGCGAGTTTGACACCCCTGCCATAAAGCAACCATAGAACCCTGGGAATAGAAGTGATAGCTTTGAGTCATTGATAGGTGCTATGATGAAGTGTTGCATAGCTCTGTGATACACATTTCCTGTAATTTATAATCATTAGGTAATTAGTATTCAGAATGACATAAAATAGCATTCATGTGCACATAATTAAAAATTAGCTTTAATAATCCATTAGTTCTGGTTGTGTCTTCTATGACTGTGTAGATTAAGTCCACTCCTCTATGACAACTCTTTATATATTTAAAGATTACCATATCTATCCCTAGTTTTACTTATAGGCTGAACGTGTCCAGATCCTTTAATCGTTTCTCTTAGAGCATGGTTCCTAAAGAGCTTGGTTCCCAGACTCTTCACTGTGTTGGTAGCTTCTTCTGAATTTATTCCAATTTTTCACTGTTCGTTCTTTAAATTTGCTCTCTAGAATTGGCCACAGTACTCCAAAGGGGTCTTGCTAGGACAAAGGAAAGTGGAATAATTATTTCTCATCATCTGAATTCTGTATTCTTATTAATATACCACAAGATAGTATGTGCTGTTTTAGAAGTTGTATCACATTGCCAACATATTTAACTTGTAGTTGACAAGGATGCCCATCATCTCTTGCAAGCTTCAATGTTTTTTGAATTTTTGCTTTTCTGAAAGGTTCTTACTACCTTGTATTAGAATTAGGTGGTTTTCTTCCTCCCGTATGTATCCTTTTCAGTATTTGAGAGAGCTCTGCATAGATCCATGCTGGTCTCTCAAAGTTCTTTCCCTTTTCCTTATGGAGATTGTGGTTGTGTTCAGTATCGTTTCACATTCCATTCAAAATTGGAGTTCATCAAAATCTGCTTTTCTGAAGTCCAGTATGAAAGACTGACTCTTCTCCAAAACTACTCTGGATATCACAAATTCAAGGGACAATGTGTTCCGTTTCCTCCAAGGTACCAGTTTCCTTCACTTTAACCAATTCTTATTACTGGGGCTTCTGGCCAGCGGGCCGCCGAACAGGCTGGCCAATGCGTGTATGTGCTGATACCCCTGCTCGCCTCTACAAAAATGGCGCCACATGGCAAAAACAGGGCAGTGCTAGCAAGTGTTAACGTGGGCGTTAGCACCGCCCCATTTGCATTGAACATTCTCGCAGCCGTTTGTGTGCGCATACGCACATAAAATGCTTTCCCTTCCCTTTTCCACCAGTCTGCCAACCGAGAAAGGTTGGAGACCTCTGGGCTAGGGTACAAGACACTAAACGCCCTTGTTCTTTTTTTTACACTTTCTGACAAACAATCAGGCTGCAAACTGGGAAGCACCCATCAATGTGACATAACTTCTTTCTTAAGGAAGTTCTGACATTTCTTCAGTCTGTGGGGGCCCCCAATTTTTTTTTTGTAATGTTCATGGTTTTTTAAATTTTTTTGTCAGAAGCACATTCAAATTATAGACATATAGCATTCAACACTGAACAAGTAAAATAAGTATAAAATAAGTCCTAGAAATATAGCATGTTTAAAAAGTATGTGAAATAGGATTAAAAGTAAAAGACATTTACCTAATATTGGGCCAAATTGACAGCAATTTCTCTCGCTTGTATGAGGTCTTCTTCCATACATGTTCAGTGATATGATTTGCCCAAGGAGAGCTTGGAACCAGTGATTTATTTTATTTTGTATCACATTCTTCCATATACTTGCCTGTACCAGAGAGGTCCTCTCCCTCACTGATTGGTATTTATTCCAATTCCTCTTGGAGAGTTCCGAATATTTAGCCAAGAAACGTCTATTATTTCTAATCCATTCAAGTATTACAACTTTCTTCTTCAGCCCTTTTTTTTCTCTACTGAGTACATTTGCAGGAATGCAGTCTAAGTGTAGGCAGGAAGAGAAATACTACATATTCTTTACAAGTCACAATGGTGCTTCCCTCACTTGTTGCTTAGAGCAGGGGTCATCAACCTGTGGTCTGTGGCCCACTACCGGGCTGTGGGCTGTTGGCCATTGGGTGGTGTGAGTGGCTGGCCAGTGAACGCAGGTGTGCATGAGCGCACACCCCCACTTGTGCTATCATTGTGGCATCATACTGGCCCTATTGTCGCTGCAAGCACAATATCCCCACTCACGCTAGCATCGTGGCATTGCGCAGGCACTAGTGTCGCCCAAGCATCGTGCAGGCACTCATGGCCCCATTTGCATCACGTGCACACATGGCCATTTGTGCGCGTGCAGCCCCGTTCACGCATGCATGTGCTCGCACGCATAAAGGCGCCTCCACCACACCACCCCGGGCCACCAACCCAGAAAAGTTGGGGATCCCTGGCTTAGAGCCTTCCCTGTCAACTTCCTTAGCTGAACACATGCACATCTTTCCTATGGCTTGTTTTGGTTGCAAGTTCTCAAAAGTTATCTTTCTAGCTAAAGACTATCTACTACCATAGAAAGAAATAGAAAAGAAGAAAGAGATCTTCCCGTGCTTTCCTCTTGACTTGTTCTGCTCAAACTTTTTCCTTGCTTGTTGATCTTGGTTTTTGGAAACTGGGTTGTTTATATATCTCCTGGAGCTGCCCCAGCTAGGTAAGCGAGAGCAAGACTCTAATAAGATATAGTGGTCATTCACTCTGGAAATAATCAGCAATCACTCAGCCAATATTCGGGAAACCATCTGCAGCAGCAAACAGTCCACAGTCTCCCTCTCCCGTCTCTTTCAACCCCCTTTACTCTCCTGTCATTTCAATAAGGAAGCTGTTGAACTATGAATATTAACTAATATAATAACTATGAGTATTAACTATGCCAGTGATGGCGAACCTTTTAGAGACCGAGTGCCCAAACTGCAACCCAAAACCCACTTATGCATCGTCGGGTGCCGGGTGGGCGTGGCCCATTGGGTGGGCGTGGCCCATTGGGTGGGCGTGGCCCATTGGGTGGGCGTGGCTGCGGTGGTAACAGCAGACTGGGTGGGACTAAAAAGTTCAATAAATCAATTCCAACTTCGCAAGATCTTTTCCCCGCGAGAAGTTGAAATTGACTGATTGAACCTTTTTTTTTTTGCACATGGCGGCGGAGGCCTAAAGCGAACAGGTTTTATAAAACCCAGCTGAAGGCCTAGGACTGGGGCGACGGCGCGCGTGCCCACAGAAAGGGCTCTGAGTGCCGCCTCTGGCACCCGTGCCATAGGTTTGCCATCACTGAACTATGCTGTGTTTCAGTATGGGCCCACTCCAGAACAATCATGTTTGATGTATGCCTCTGGTATTCTGTTTTTGGTAGGACAGTTTATCTTCAAGAATGAGACCATAACTGATTCATGGAGCAATCTACATTTTCCAAATGCCACCATACATAACTACTTAAGAGCCTTTGTTCTGTGGCATACTCTTATTTTGCCTGATGTAGGAAGAAAGAGGAGCGAAGCAAGCAAGACAAGGCCCAAGCTCTTGCATATATTGGGTCGAAGGAAGGAAGAAAATTTTCCTTTTTTAAAGTTTACCCAATTCAAGTGTTTCAAGTATTCCTATGGGGTTACAAATCTATGAATCCAGTAAATACACCCACTCAAATTGCAGCTGATAGATTACATTGCAAATAGTAAAACTATATTCTTCCTGGATTTGGCTTATTAGGTAAATCAACCAAGTGGCACAAAACAGCTGACGCTTGCTATTTTTAACATCACGGATTTCATCTAGGAACTTATTTTATAAAGTAGCTCCAATTTAGAACAAAGAAAACATTTTATTTTAAAAATATTTAACTGTCTAATACATTACACTTCAACAATATTTATAGTAAAGGATCTTACAAGAAACAGTTTTGATATATTAGTATAAGAAATATTCTTTATCCACATAGGGACCTTCTCTGTAGTGTAAAAACACCATGTAGCTGAAATGACATTTGCATATAAAACCCACCAGTGATGCTAGTGCTTAATTTGCACAGTGATATTTTTTTTAAAAAAAAAAGTCAACACAAAAACAGTACCCAAAATATACAGTTAATGCAAGCTATACACAGCTAACAAAAATTATAGGAACACCGTTGCAAATTCATCTCCACTTGGTCAGAAAGTACACACAGGAGAAGTATGACTGTTCTCTGATATGGCTTATCAAATTAAAACACCAAAGCAATTCAGCAAGCTTCACAGATTGGAGAACTCCACCAATAATGCACTTTGATATATTCTGTTGTCAAAGCTTATGGGCAGCATCTATAAGGGCCATGGTAAGTCACTAAAATCAACTGGGCCACCAAGCCCTGCATCTGCTTCCAAAAGGCTCATGATAACTGCCATCGCTGCCTCATCATTGCTGGGGCTGCTGGATCCTTGGTCATTGTCTATCATATCAATGCCTATATGCGAGTTTTCCCCTGGAAAGAGAATAGAAAAATTCAATGTTACAGTAATTCTATTTCTAAGCTAATGTTCACACTTTGAAAAGTATACAGTATAATTGAGCGCAATATTCAGAGCAATTACATATTATGAGCTCTCTTATTTGACAGCTGACTTGACTTCTTGTCAAATGTACAATGAAATGAAATCTCCATATGTTATTGTGTACTTGGCCACATTATAGTATAAATAATACTGGGATAAAATACTGCTAGTTAACGTTTAGAGTGTCTTAAGAGTTTCTCTGGGGGGTGAGGTAGATTGAAATTGAAAAAATAACATTTTTATTAAAAAATCAATATAAAATATCAATATAAAATATTCTAAATTGGAATATTTAAGATATTAATCTTACATTTTAGTAACTTGGAAAATTACTAGTATGCTGCCAAAAATTGTAGAATTTCTTTTAAGAAATAATGTTGGACTAAAAACATCTTCCAACAAAATGATCCTCCAAAACTCCAAGGCTTTATTAATACAATATTATATTCTACAATATGCTCATATTTTAATTTTATCTATCTTTCCTTAGAAATTCTATTCATTCCATGGCAGGATTCACCCTTAAGGATTTCACCTAGCTATACAATGAAAGAGCTCTACTCTCCTGTTCCTCATTTTAATCTTGTTATCTTTCGTGAATTGGCCTACCAAGAATAGAGTTGTTGTCAGGATATGGATAGACTGGGTTGTCTTGTATCTGGCCAGACAATATACTGGCAGGAGGAATGTCTGCTGTTCCACCATTCAAAATCTGAAAGAAAATGAAAACAAAATAAAAGGCTTTATATTCAGCCTATTTTACACATAAACGTCTAGCATAAAGTTAACTTTTCAACAAAATCTATAAATGGTAATGACAGTATATTTCTATACATAAAATTTTATCTACATTACATAGCCATGCAACTTCCTCAGTAATTTGCTTTGTAAGTTTACCCATTAACTTAGTGTCAAAGAAGTCCTATTCAGGCAGAATAGAAGTTTATTACTGCTATAATTACAATCTGTCAACATCCAGCTTGAGAATCCAAATAAAATTCCAGGTTCATTCAGTTTCCGAAAATCTTATTATTTATTGAATACATTGCACGGTAATGTCGAAAGCAAGCCAACTCTGAAGTTCCCAAGACACCAGTTCATAGAATTAAACAATATTTTTCCCAGCCAAACCCCCAACCTCTCACGTAGTCCATGTAGACAATTTCATTTTGTTATGGGAATTGTCTGCTTCCTTTCCACACCTGCTGCGATGTCCTTGGAAAGGTTTCAGGCTCTCACGGTCTTCAGTGGAATCATAGAGGTTTCGTTTCTCCATCTAACCCATTCTAAAGCAACTCCTCCCCTCCTTACTCTAATGGCAAGCTGAAATGAAGACGCACGTAGCTGCCAAAGTTTCATTCTTGACACAATCATTCTAGAGATTTCTAACGGGAACCAAATTTTGGTGAATCTTACCTACACCCTATCCTTCATAGTTAGTAAGATCCTATTCACCATGTGAAAAATCCCATGTGATTATTTCCCTTATCAAACCTTGTGTTCAGAAATAAAATTGATTCATTATGTTACAAAGCTTCACATGCACATGCTTACTGTAATATCATACTTCAAAAACAATGCTGTCACCAATATTACCCTTACGCATATCCGAAGTGATGACACTACATTCCACATGATGCTCTATATAGACAAAATGAAACTAGATAATTACACCACTTATCAAAATCAAATGTGACTGCATAAGATAGTGTGCCCTATCTTTTTAATTTCTGGGAAGTAGGAATCATATCGGGACTACATTGTTTTAAATGGAAGAATGGATTAATTCTTCATATGTAATGGCTACACCACATTCTTATATATTATTAGATAACCCATGACCTGGTTGGTCGTTTCAGAGATATTACCTTATATAACCAAGGAAGGATGACAAAGAACAAAAAAGCAGTACAAGTGGCAGCAACTTCTGACTTCCTGCCACTTGACTGTGGCTGACCATCCTTTGGCAGCTGATGGTGGGAGTGGTCTCTTCTATCTCTAGAGGACTAGGATGGGACTGGTCTACCTGATTTCCACTGGCTGAAGGAGGGGCAGTCTACCTGCCCTCCAGATGACCACAGGGCTAGGGCAGGCCAGTCTAGTGAACTTCCAACTAGTAGCAGAGCAACACTGAGATGATCACAAATTTGCCAAATTTCAATTCAAGGAGAGTTATGGGACCCAGATTTTGAACACACTCCATAGCATCATCATTTGAAGTACTTTGATTCAACAATAGTTGCCTTATGACGTACTGTTTCACCCAGTTAAAAGTTATAGGCATGAGAGTTTAGTAGCATATTGTGTAATGAAATATGGGAACGATCTGGGGAAAGGGGGAAAGAGATGCTGCCTAGGGAACAATCAGACAAGAGAGGCAGGAGCCGCCAGTGGCTTAAGGGTCAGAGAAAGAAACTTAGAAAGGACCCACCCTATTGGATAAAGCAGTTAAAAATAGTGGTGGAAAGTTTGCTATTTTCAGACTTGTGAGATTCTACTATAGTAGATTTTCCTTATCTAATTGGGTTTTCTGTTTGGTTTATCCAGGAAGGCCAACATATATAGACAGGTAAAGCAAACAGAAAAGGTAGAAGAAAACAAACTATTACAATGATAGAATCAGATTGGATCAAGCTGGAAAAAAGACAAAACCATTAAAGAATACTAAAAACACCACGAGGAATTAGAGGCCATTATTATTGTAGTCATCCTCATCATTCTCACCCTCATCTACTTTTTTTAAAAGATAATGATCTCATAGAGTTCCATAAGCTCTTAGTGAGCCCCTCTTATAGCCAACGTCTGTTGTCCTGTCCTTGCAGACCTAAATTTGAATCTATTTCAGCTTGTGAAAATTAGGTAAAGCTGTATCATTAGGAAAGAAGTAGTTCATTTATGTTTCTGACAGCCGGCTGTTGCCCAATGCCCATATCTTTTTAACACCTTGTTATGCTGTTCTTTTACCTGATAGTAGACCCTGGTGAACAAAGTAGGTAACATTTTCTCATGAGGAGAACATTTTCTCAAGGGAGAAGCTGGTGCTGAGTTGGTAAAGAGGTGGAGTCTTAAAAAAAAAAAAAGGACTTGGAGATTGAATTGGAGGTATAAAGGCTGGCAAACCATGATGGACCCAACATTGCTTTGACAATTGAAACAGGTCGATTTAAGAAAAAGCAATGGCAAATCAAAACGAGTAATTTTGGAACTGCTGAAGATTTGTTAGTTCAAGTGGATCCTAAACACAATTGAAGTAGAGAGGGCCAGGGCCTGGAGAAGACTGCCAATGAGAAAACCCTGTGGGACAAAATCTACCCAGAAGATCACTATGGAGAGGAGAGATATCACATTCAACCAGCCAAAGAAAGAGAATGACAATCTGAGAAACCGAATGCCAGTTACCGTAATTGTAAAGTAGGAGGTAGGGATAGCATATCGGATTACTACTAGTCATATTTAGCCAACATATAGGATGCACACATAGCAATGTAGATTTTACCAGAGGGAGAAAGCTTTATTTTGCTAGTAATGCAGAGAAAAAAGTCTTTTAAAAAATTCTGTTTAGTCATTTCTAACTTATAGGATTTTTTATGTTGTGGCTGCTATTACCAATTACAGGGAGGTGGGAGGCCAGAAACGAGTACTGTAAAGGAATGCAACTTAAAAATGAAATTATTTTCTGCTTGTTACGGTAAGAGAAAAGAGGGGGAAAAGTCACAAAAAGTGCTTGGTGATGTTTGTATCTTGAAAACCCCAGGAGGCCATATTTCAATGTACCCCTGGTCCCCAATTTTTTTAATTATGAGAGCATTCCAACATCACACATCAAATTTTTATAAAACCCCTCTAATGTTTAATGAGAAGACTACTTCCCCAGCCAGAATTCTCCAACCTCAGGAATAACAATAGCCCACAAACCCACAGCCATACTCCGCCAGGAATTATCCAGAACCAAAGACATGATACAGAAGGATGAAAGAAACAATGTAATTTACAAAATCAATTGTAACAATTGCAACCAATTCTACTGGGACAAACATCACCTCAACTGAAAACCAGAATACATAAACACCAGCTGGCAGTCAATTGCCACGATCCCAAATGCCTAATCGCTACCCACACTGACATCAAACAGCACCAATTCAATTGGAGCAAAGCAAGAATCATCAGTCATGCTACCACCCGTCACACACGCAAGTTTATCGAGGCCTGGCACTCCGCAATTCCATCAACAGACATATTGACCTACAACCTACAACCCCATGAGAAATCGAATCAATCAACCAGCGAAGGCACTGAACCTCAATCAACCCATGCAACTTCCCCAACCAGCACTACACCTCCCAAGGACCCTCACCTGATGTGACCTCCCCATCAAAAGGCATTCACTTGATGCGACCTACATCCAACCCATCACAAGACCTTCACCTGACATGACCCTCCCATCACAAGGCCTACTGACCACATGAAGCCCTTATAAGCAGAAGAACACCAACACTGACGTTCCCTAAATTCCACTGAAGATGTTAACTAGCCTGGTAACGAAACATTCAGAAACCAACCCACAAGCTCAGAGAATGAACCTCTACCCTCATCCCACACCTGAGCAACAGATATTCGCCACTATAGCTACTTTCCTCTTCTAAAATGCCACGTTAATCATCTGCATGAGTAATAGACACATTCAGTATCTAATATCCCTCCCCACTTTGAAATAATCCAAGAAATTCAGGTTGAAAAATTCTATATAATCCATTGAGTGATATCACTGTCATAAGACATGCCAGTTGTTGCTCTCAAGGCCCAAAGTAAAAAGTAAAAAAAAAATAGCAGTATGCTGAAAAACCTTGCTCTCTCTCTGTTTTGGAAGAACTGTATGGATATGTATTAAGATATCATTTTAATTGTAATATTAAAAGACTGCAATTTAATAATAATATCAATGTTTTTTAATTATTATCTGTTTTTATAGCACTATAGGTAGTCCCTGACTTACAACCATTTGTGTAGTGACCGAAGTTACAATAGTACCGAAAAAAATGACTTATGATCATTTTTCACACTTAACGACCGTTGCAGCATCTCCATAGCCATGTGATCAAAATTCAGATGCCTGGCAACTGACTCATTTATGATGATTGCGGTGTCCCAGGGTCGTGTGATCCCCTTTTGTGACCTGACCAGCAAAATCAATGGGGAAGCCAGATTTCCTTAAGAACTGTGTTACTAATTTAACAACTGCAGTGATTCACTTTACAACTGTGGCAGGAAAGGTTGTAAAATGGAGCAAAACTCACTTAACAGCTATCATGCTTAGCAACAGAAATGTTGGGCTTGATTGTAGTCATAAGTTGAGGACTCCCTGTATTTTATAGGTTTTTTTGTTTATTGTACACTGCCCAGAGTCACATTTGGTGAAATGAGTGATCATATAAATAAAAAAATAAAATGCAATTAGGGTGACGGAAAGCGATAAACTTTGCTATATTTTGCCCTTCCTTTTTTTACTTTAGATCCCCTTTAATGCAGGGATATATTGAGATATATTGGTAAATTTCTGATGATAAGATACAAGTAGCTTTATACTGATAATCACATAGCAGTGAGCAATAATTGAAAAACATATTTTTACAATGTTAGGCACCCCGGTTCATAGGCATCCTGTGTATACTATAAATATCTACATCTCTTTCCACTGAACATTTAATAAGAAACTGATAGATCCACAGCTCCAGTTTTCTGGAAATCTGCCACGCAGACTTGAGGCTTTCTTTAATGATACCCACAAAGAAAATACTGTAACATGATCAATAGTTATACTGTTTCTACTTAGAGCCAGGATACCATTAACCACAATGTACTTAGAATCCTACCTCAAGTATATTTAATAAGCTCTTCAAATTTATACATGGGTACTTGTCATTATAAATCAGTTTAATAGTTCTTGAATTTGTTACCTATTATTGAAGTATTGGTCAATAAAGGAAACATTATTTCTATGGTAAGTATTTATTAGTACAGGTAATTTTTGTATTATGAAAGCAGTTTTGTTTCGTTTGAATCATGAAGATAAAATTTCTGGTAAAGTTTGAATTCTGAAGCTTTCAACGTTTAAACTTAATAGATGGATTTATACATTCATAGGGCAAAATATGTTCATATTTGTGTTTGTATTTAAAAGTTCTTTAAACAACTTTTTAAAAAACCCACTTAGAATTATTATATTACTATGCCAGTCTATCATCTATTTCAACAGATTGCAAACGCTGCAATACATTCATTTTACAGATTTGTTATAATGGTTTGGATTAATTTATCTGGTAAAGCCTGACGATATAGCTTTAAAAAAAAACTCTTTAAAATTCTCCCATCTCACCTTTTTGCCTCCTGGTGATGAAGTGTCAGGGGGAGGTGTGCTGGTCATGTTCAAGGGGCTGGAGCCACAGCTTGAAGGGGAAGAGCCTCGTATCCTGTTACACCAACGACAGCCAAATTACAAAAGGCACAAAAAAATAAAGTCATTTTTTAGGATGACATTATTATCGCAACCCCAAAATTATAATCTGAAAGCCTATCTATGTGCTTAGTTTTGGAGTTTACACACAATTAAGGAATTCTCTTTAGTACATTATATTTAGAAAATATTCCAGTAAATCATAAACCAGACTGCATGGTTCTGGTGAGACAGTCACAGCATTCTTATTAGGTTTTAGGATTAAGTTTTTGATTTTTATCTCCTAAGAAACATGGCTCTAATTTGCTATGTACTGTACATGCCTGGATATGGCAAAAAGAAAATAAAATTGGCAAACAAACAACATTTCCACAAGTTCAGTCTATTTTGCCTTTGTGTGATTACTATGATTTCGAACAGGGATCCCCAACCTGTGGGCTTCGGCCTGGTAGTGGGCCGTGGCTTATTGGCCACCCCCTCACTTGCGCTAGTGCCTCGGCTGCAGGGTGCAAAAAGAGGCCGCCACTGCACCTTGGGGCGTGAAAATGGGCTACTGCCATGCCTCATGGTACAAAAAAGGGCCGCCGCCGCGGCGCCTTGGGGTGTGAAAATGGGACACTGCCTCCATGCCTCAGAGCACAAAAATGGGTACCGCCACACCGTGGGGTGGAAAAACAGGCCGCTGCAGTGCTGCAAGGTGCAAAAATAGACACCACCATGCCACAGGGTGCAGAAACAAGGCACACCATGCAAGAACGGGGCACGGGTAGCGAGTACCACGCAGGCGCTAGGCCCACTCCGTGTGTGCTTGCAGCCCCTTGCGTGCGCACATGCATGCATGTATGTAAAATGCTTCTTCCTCCCTTTTCCTCCGGTCGGCCAACCAACAAAGTTTGGTGACCTCTGATTTAGAAGGCTATATGTTGACTATTGTTCATCATAATCTTGGAAACTGCAAAATTGGATTTATTAAACTTCTTTCACAATTACTGCTTATTTATTGTAGATAAACCATCCTAAAATACTTCACTGTACAAAGAAACATATACAAACAGTTATGCTTGTTGTGCCTTGAAAGCAATCAAATGACCAGCTTATTTAGAAATCAATTTATTGGATTTATACCCTATGTTTCTGTGAAATGACAGTGTTAAAAATACCTTACTTTATTTTGAAAAGGATTGTTTAACTCTTTAAATTATTACAATTTTATACTCGAAAAGGAATGGATACTTAGAGGTAATAAAGAAGTCGTTAGTAGGAAGGTTAAAATGGTCGTGGCCGAGCACAAGGTGGACCTTATGGTCCTTGACACCCTTCCCGGGAAAAACCTGGTGGAATTTTTCTAAAAGTTTTTTGAAAAGAAAAGAAAAAAAGAAAATGCAATTAAATAAAAAGGGAAAGAAAAAGGACACACAAGCTAATATATGCCTGCAATCTACACATTTATTCTGAATATAGGTAGTCCTCGACTTATGGCTACAACTGAGTTCAAACTTTCCATTGCTAAGGAAGATGTCAAATTAATTCTGCCCCATTTTACGAACTTTCTTGCTACAGTTAAGTGAATCTGGCTTCCACATTGACTTTGTTTGTCAGGTCGCAAAAGATGATCACATGACCCCAGGACACTGCAACCATCATAAATACATGCCAGTTGCCAAGCATTTGAATTTTAATCACATGACCACCACAGGGATACAGCAATGGTGGTAAATGTGAAAAACAATCATAAATCACTCTTTTCAATGCTACTGTAACTTCAAATGGCCACTAAACAAATTGTAAGTTGAGGATTACCCTTTACAATTGTTATAATTCTATTTTTTTGTTTCCTTTGCTTTCAATCTCATCTTATTTCACTAAACATTAATTTCAATGCAGTAAAGTTGTTCTAACATTACATGAAAAGTAAGGCACTGTGTATTTTATGCTTAAGCTGTGATTTTAATATATTTCACGGTCACTGGCATGCATTCCTACGGAAAGCCTGACTCTATTAATCCTGATTCTTGAGAGCTGTTGAATGCATTTTTATGTATGACCTTTTTCATCATAAGACAAATCTCTTTTAAAACTCAGATGATGTTTTTCCAGGGATAAAAGTCCTTCTACCTGTTGGAAAGAAGTAATTTCTATTTCCTGCTACAATTCTTACGTTAAAGATATTCAATTTTCCTTAAATGGCAAAAAATTGAAATCTTAATTTTTAAGTTGATCCTACCCACCACTTTTTGTAGGTAGCCCCTGGTGTACTTATGCGAGGTTAAGTGCCTGTAAAAAAAGTAACTGTACTGCATGGGATTTAAAAGACCGCCCTGGGATACAAAGTCATTTAATGGGCTTTTCTAGCCAAGCTTACTGCATTTCACAATGAGTTTATAAGGTATTGCAAGCCTGTTACAGGAGGAAATCACTGAAGATGAAGAACTTTCAGTATCTCTATTGTTAAGATAGATACAACTGAGAAATGCAAGCTTATTGACTACAGTTACAAAATCTCCTTCAAAACATAATTTTCTTGGCTATCTTCTCACATACCTAACATACTAGGTACACATACTCCTTGATTACTTCAGCAACTCCAAATGGCTGGGTTTTATTTGGGAGAAATCTCTGCTCCTCTTTCAATATGATGTTGCAGAGGCTACTTCACTTGATTCCAAATCATCACATAACCTGAACATATATATCTAAACAGGGCTTTTTTTCTCATAGAACGCCCAGAACGGAGTTCCGGCACCTTTTTTGGATGGAACCTTATAGGGTAGGCAAGGCGGGTTGTATGACATGTGTGAGTTCCGGCACCTTTTTTAAAAAAAAAAAAAAATTCTTTTTTTCGTGACAAAAATTTATATGGGTCGGTAAAATATATTGATTCACGTTTTACCCGTTCCAATCCAAAGACTTATGATATTGAGTCAACGGACTTTATCGTCTATTAGTTATTAATGATCATTTTTACACGAAACTTAAAGTTCACAGAAAAACAACAATATAGTTGTTCGACGATTCTTTAGACAGTACTTCCTGGGAGGCTACAGATCTTGAGTCAGATTGAGAAACAGTTATTGGAAATCAGCTGAATCACTATGTATTAGACTTAACCAATAACACAAGAACATACATTTATGAGCTACTAACAATATTAGTACTATTTGACAACACAAAGGCAGCCACTTGGACAGATGCTTAAAACATCTCTGGGTTCCTAGCTAGCTTCTTACATTGAAGCTTTCTTGATTATTAAAGGAACAATAATTATTGATCCATTTAAGGATCTTAGCATAGAAAGGGAAGTAGAGAGAACTATTTCCACTATCTACTGTTAGTATACTGTTGAAGGTTACAGTTAGAGAGAGAAAAATCTCCTACAATAGGTTTTTGCATATTCACAAGTGATTCTGGGCTAGTGAGACATTTTAAGTTCTTTTTTCATTTATGTGAAATCCAGAGAGAGAAAATCTTGCTAATCTGTATCTCTGTTTATATGTAGGCAAGGACAGCATGTATGTTTTTCCTTCTGTCAAAAGTCTGTAGTTAAGTTTGGTCTAGTGCAGGGGTAGGCAACCTTGGCTCTTTTATGACTCGTGGATTTCAACTCCCAGAATTCCTGAGCCAGCATGGCTGGTTCAGGAATTCTGGGAGTTGAAATCCACGAGTCATAAAAGAGCCAAGGTTACCTATCCCTGGTCTAGTGGTTAAGGCACCACCCTAAAAACCAGGAGACTGTAAGTTCTTATCCTGCCTTAGGCATGAAAACCAGCTGGTGACTTTGAGCCAGTTATTCTCTCTCAGACCAGCCAACTTCACAAGGCTGTTGTTGTGGGAAAAATAGGAGGAGGAAGGAGTCTTGTGTATGTTCATCACCTTGAATTATTTATAAAAAATAATACAACTAGAATATAAATACATAATATAGATCCAAAATAATGGCTCTATCTACCATGCTTTTAATTTCATCATGTGCCAAAGAAAAAGGACAGCATGGGGCTTTTGGGGGAAAACATCCACCACCCTGATATTTCGCTTTATATTCCACATAATGTGCTATATTTATTTTGGGATTAGGGATCACTTTGGGCTGTCACCCCCATTGCGCAACGTTCTTGACATTTCTTAGCTCTTTAAATTTTCCCCTCCTTGACACTTCTTCAGCTTCTTGAGTGTGATACAGAAGGAACACATAGTTGCAGGTTTGAAATACATACTAAGCATTACAAATTGCACTAAGTTCAATAAAACAAATCCAGAGAAGTTTGCTAATTACCTTCCCCTGCTTGGAGTACACTGTCCATGCTGTGAGGTGAAGCTGCTAGTTGTGGAAAAGACGTATTTCCACCATCAAGCATATTAGCACTGGGGATTCAGAAGAAACATAAACGCATCATTTTATGTTACTAGTTATTTAGCATAGTAAAATACTTGTTTTTTATTGTCAGCTTCATTACTGTGCAACATATAAATTGTTGTGGATTCTTATCAAATCTAGCAAACTAACACTTAATACATAGAAGGCAGAGTGAACTATATTTTTTTTCACCAAGAAAAGAAAAATACTTACGAAACCACTGTGTTCGTTGAGACAATATATTCTACTTCTTTGGTCCAAGGGTTCATGAAACTGAACCAACAACTCCTCAGTGTAATAAAAGATCCATCTTTGACTTTAAACTTGTAACAGTTAGTACTAATTTTCTCTCTCGACTGTAAAACTGAAAAAAAGACAAAAAGGATCAGGTTTGTACAATTGCCTTGTGTGGAGTACAAGTACAATGGTCATGTTAATTTTTTCCAAGGTTCCTAGCTCATTTTTCTAGTCGGGGGAAAAAAAATCTGAACCATTTGGCTCCTTTACAGATAACATTTTACCTTGTCGATGACATTCTGCAAGATGTCCTATGTCATCTTGATGAAAATATTCATAACATGATGTACCTAGAAGCTCCTGTGGTAAATATGCCAAAATTGCAGTCGCCCTAAAACAGAGAAATGCTTCACTGTTTCTAATTAATTATGCAGGAATTAGTATAAAAGTAGAAAGAAAATCAATTTCCTGTTTTCTTGTATCTTTAAGAGATGCTAAACTACAGAAATTGGGATGTGACTTCTTCAAAAATTAATATCCGTTGGACAATGTTCATAAATTAGGCTATTATTGTTATGCTATAGTCCATAAGGAAATCAACCATTCTTTAATATACTCAATTTGTTATGTAATACCCTGTCATAAAGTCATAAATTATTATGACAGTTATGCCTGAAGAAAATCAGACTGCAACCAGAATATAAACATCCAAATACATCTAACGTCTCACTGTTTTTGAAAGGAAAACTCAAATTGGGAGTTCAATTATAAAGAACTCAAATTCTTCTCTATAATTAATAGCACATGCAATAAATATAAATGATGGTGCTTATAGCTCAAAATGAGAACCATTTCAGAGAACACAAAAAACATTTAAAAACTGAGTTATACAAATACATACACAAACAGATAACGTTCCCTAACACAGATGTGACGGAATATGTACAAAACTTAAAATATATTGAAATATGTAACTGTAGATTGGGGTTTGGTTATTGACAAAATTTATTTAAAATTCTTAAGACAATCCCTGCAACATAATGTGAAAGTGTGTTTTTGTGTGTATAAAATACATGTGTGTGTGTATTCCTATACTTAATAGTGCTATCCTCAGTCTTGTACATACGCATGAAATATGTTTCCCCATCTTTAATTTGCCTGTTATATTTTGCTATTAGTAACAATGTCTTCTTTGTTACCATTATATTGGACATTTTCATAAGCAAATATTCTTTTGGCAAGAATATTTTATAACTAAAACTTTAGATACCAAGTTTAGCAATTACGGTATATCTCAGATCATTCCAATCAATGTTACCGAGTATTTTTAACCTTGCTGTCATCCTAAAAAAAGAGATTACTTATACAATTATATAAATTTAAAATAAACATTTGTCTCCCAATAAACTTGCACAATATTAGATTCTTATTTGGTGCTATAGTATACCACCACCAAATAGAAACATATGAACACCATGGTAAATGTAGATATATTAGGAGGGTTTTTTTTTGAGAAATTCTTACCACATAAGATTTATATACTTCAAAATATTAATAACCTAGAGTTCACCCACCAATTCTGCAGTGTACATAAATTTAAAAATGCAACGTAGTACAAGGAATTTTTATAGAAGAATACATGAGTTATGAGAAGAAGGTCTCCAAAATGAACAGATATTCAATGCTTATGTCATTTCAGGGTGAAAGCAGCATACATTCCATTTTTAAATAGAATTTTATGACAACATTTAAAAGAGTTTTAAACATCAGCTAGTATTTTATACTCAGAAATTTATCCTAAGGTGTATCTTTATTATGTTATAACAATAAATCAAAAGTCATTCATAGCAAATACATAAAACAGCTATATCCCATTATACAACTGTAGCTGTGATAATGCTAGCATGATAAAAGCATTGCCCAGAGCAGATCCCATCTTGAACAACCTGACTATGCAAAATTGTTTTTTTTTCCATTTTCCCACGCATAACCATTTTATTATTATCTGGTAGAACTAATCTGCAACTTTATCATTCAACAAGGAATCATTAGGGAGATTTTCTAATTTGCTGATTTGACCTAAGAGCATTTTGCTTGATTAGAGCAAGCTAAGGGTGGCTTCCGCTTCTATAAAGTTAAATAAAGTTCAAAAGATATTAGGGGAGAAAGGTCTGTGTAGCAATAGCTAAGCAGAAAATACCAATAATCTTTAAGCTTTCTCTGAGCAGGGAATGCTGAATATATGCCAAGATCCAAGCAACTGGTTTAGCCAGGCTGACTACATTGATTTTAACTGGAACTCCTTGGGTATGAGAATGTTTATTTTGTTCTCTACTCCCTTTACCTCAATAAAACTTTTATTTATTGTGGATTGGTTTAACACTGGAATTTTGTTGGTTTAATTAAAAAATTCTCATTAAAAGCTTCCTTATGAGAAATGCAACAGTTATAAATACAAATCAGTTGTGTTTTGTATTTCTGGATTTTGGTTGGGACAATCCAAAACATCTTCCTCTCTACTTTTTTCCGTATGGCTGCACTGGAAAGTGAAGTTCTCAGAGAAAGAACTCACAATTTCAGCCTGACTGGTAACAATCTATTGTAATTAATTATTGGGGACCTTTGAAATAAGGGTGAAGTTTTAAATTATCTTCCCTCCCAGTACATATACTGTACACATACCTTTCTTCAAAATAATCTCATTTTCTGCCAATCTAGAGTTAGATTGCATATACTGGTATACAGTATTTTTTAATTTTAATTTTTTTTTGTTTACAAAATACCAGTTCCAATGCTCTAAGGAATACATCTGGCATTGGCTTAATACAGCTATTGTTCAGCTTAATACAACTGCTGAAAATTAATTATAGCTGATGCAAGAAATTCACCATCCCGTTGCATTCTGATTAATTTCCTCTATTTTCCCCTTTGGAAAAGTAAAATAAACTCATTAATAAACATTTTACTACCTCCTACATAATTAGAATAGAATATAGAATAACAAGAGTTGGAAGGGACCTTGGAGGTCTTCTAGTTCAATGCCCCGCTCAGGCAGGAAAATTATAGAGCAACAGATATCAAAGGAACTGTTTTTAAAATCTATTAAGTGCATTTTTACAATCTAATTGAGGACTGTATACTTGTATCTCTTAGACAGAGACCTCTCATGACTCCGGTGATAAGGCCAGTGTCAGCTGATGTTGCACTGTGAAATGATAGCCTCACTTTGGCTTCTTGTACTATATTGGGAGTTGGGCAGGGGAAAGTAGTTCAAAGTTCACTTCAGCACAGCAAAGAAAGATTGTGGATTGTGCCAGTATTTCCATTCAGACATTACCACGGTCATCATTCAGCCAATTGTCAATATTTTTAAGCATTTTTTTTCCAAGTTTGCATTTTATGTTACAAAGAGTAAACAAATCAGTTCACTTATATCAAAGTGCTGAAGTATCTTGCAATTTGTTCACCATCATACAAACATTATTGTTGCTTCAAACAAGCCACCTAGGGTCATCTCAAAAGAATAAGAATTATTGTCCTCAAAGGAAGAATTAAATGCTGTTCTTACCTCTGATCTACAAATACAAATTTGCCATCAATTGCATGTCGCGAAACATATTCTGTGGGTTTAACCCTGATTTCTCCATTTAATGGTTGAGGAACTACATGAGGATGTAAACGTCCGATTGCAACAAGACAACTTAAGTTACAGCCTTCATTATCAGGCTCATTGTCTTCATCTAGTCCCATTTTTGTTGGTGGCCAGCTTTTTAAATATCCTGTGCTGTGGATAGTACAAAAGCTTTTGCGATCTGCTACAAAACAAAATAAGGTTAAATAAATAAGCAAACAAATACATTCACAGCTTGGAATCAAGAGAAACTGTGTGTTATAAACCAGTAACTGGAGACAGAGATGGGGTCTCTAGGAAGAGAGCAATGGTGAAACACTTCCAAAAAATCTTGCTAAGGAAATTGCAGGAATTAGTTCAGGCAGTCCCCCAAAAGTTAACACTAACTCGAAGGCACCAGAAAGAAAAATACAAACAAAATAAACTTTAATCAGCACTGCCCTTACGCTTGATTCGGTGGCCACAGACATGCTACATTGTTCTGAAGCCAGGAATAAACCATGATAGTTGACAATTGCCCTAGCAAATCAATTGCTAAAATTGAATGGGGAGGACTTCTTGACTGTGTCCAGAATCACAGAGTGTCATATTCTGATGATTTGTTATCAGGCATTCTCAGCATACTGCCTTCACTTTGGAATGTGTTCCCTACATGATTTGTGAGCTACCAACAGCAATATTTTTAGATGATTTGAAGACGAATCTCTTCATCATACTCTATAATGAAGATGTAGTTATGGGTTTTGTATTCCATATATTTTAAATTGAATCCTATTTTTATTTCACCTGCTTTGCATTTTGTATTTTAATTGACATTCTACTTAAAAAAAAACAAGCTATAAGTTATAACTGTTCTTGAATTCAGTATGTGAATTTATTTAAACTGAGATAATTTTAGGATCTATTCATAAACCTAAGGTGTTTTTAAACCATATCAGCAAGGAAAACTTATCTTGCCATTCAAATAAACATTATAGTTATAGTTATGTTCTGCTTTTAAATTTTTATTAAGTTGGTATTTTAGTCTTAAATAAATACCATTTGAAAGATGTTTTCCTAGGACACTAAGGAAAACTGCTTTCCCCAACAGCTTTTCTTCATTCAATATGCAGGCTTGCATAAATCACAGCAGTTAATTGCTATTATCTATATAACACCAAATAATTTAGATTTTGCTGGATTTATTGCCTGAGACTGTAAAAAATAACTTTTTATCCTACTTTGTATACAAATGTTATATCACCTAACGCCACTTAGATCTTCTTAATACCTTTCTTTTTAGAACAGGTGGAAGGAAAGTCTTTGTCTTCTACTTTCACTGAGGGTCTGTTGCATTTCATCCTACAAAAAAATGATCGTCTTGCTCCAGAACACAGTCGTGATGGCCCAGGTGTTATATCTGTTTTGACTGGAAGTCCAGCTGTGTGAAGAGAAAAAGCATTAATTCCAAACTGTTGAGTATGTCTGATCCAAGCTTTCTATTTCAAGTCTACAAACTCCGGTTATGTTTATTCTGAGTTATGTGTTACATTTTAATGGGAAACCAAAAAAAAATCCCAACAACCTGTTGGCCCTTGTCCTAGCCCCAGTGATCTTCAACATACTACTAATAAATGCAGTGACTGGATGAAGAGGTTCATTCTCCAATTTGCAGAGGAGATCATTGGAAAGACTAAGGAGAAAAGAAAAAAGTAGATCTGAAATTCAAAAATGGAATTCATATAAAGAATGGTTGCTGGAATTGGGTATGTCTAGTTTAATGAGGAGAAGGACGAGGGGTGACATGATAGCAGTGTTCAATATCTCAGGGGCTGCCACAAAGAAGAGGGAGTCAAACTATTCTCCAAAGCGCCTGAAGGCAGGACAAGAAGCAACTGATGGAAACTAACCAAAGAGAGAAACAACCTAGAACTAAGGAGAAACTTCCTTACAGTTAGAACAATTAACCAGTGGAACAACCTGCCTCCAGAAGCGGTGAATGCTCCAACACTGGAAGTTCTTAAGAAGAGACTGGACAGCCTGAAATGGTATAGGGTTTCCTGACTGAGCAGGGAGTTGGACTAGAAGACCTCCAAGGTCCCTTCCAATATCATCATTATTATTGTTATTATTATTGTTGTTGTTGTTGTATTTATTTATTTCATTAGAGAGAAAATTAATGTACGAATAAAGAGTACCAGCATATAATGGAAACTTACTGTATCTAGATTGTTAGCAAAATATTTTTAAAGGATTCAAGATTGGACTTTATCTCTTCAATCAGCAGTATCATGTGATTACCAAAAAGGTTTAACGGATTTTTTTGGCTGTATTAAGAGCCTAGTTTGCAAATTCACCTGAACACTGGGCACAATTCTATGCGATATATTTTCATATGAATGATACATTGAAATGGCAATAAAAGTTATCAATATTATGGAAAAGTCATCTGCTGAGAAAAATGAAAGTTAGTGGATATGCTAAGATTGAATAAACAATCTTTAAAACTTTCTTGAAATATTTGAATGGCTATCAGTTTTAATACATTAAATTATGACTAAAGCTAGAGTACTGTCATCTTGTAGGACCAATAAAATGCTCCTTGACTGCAGCTGTGCTTCCCTATGGAACAGTGGTACTCAAATCCACCTGTTCCCACCTGATCAAACTTTTGAACTGTGTAAAAACTTGAAATCTCTTTCAGCAGGGTCCTGAGGTACAATAAAACGATCCACTTCCTAGTGCATTTTTTATTGTTTCTTTTCTTTCTTTTTTTATCCTTGGGAATTTGCTACCTTTCCCCACTGTGTGGAATGTATTCTAGTTCTCTGTTTGTTGTCTCTATTGTTTTTAATTGCTGTTTTTAACGTCAGTGTTTAAGTCACCTAGAATAATTTAGGAGACTGAAGTTGCAGGCAAATTGATAAATAAAACTATAGTCATATTTGTTGCTTACATATGTGATTGGTGAACATGGGACATACAAGTAAAGAGTACCGGTATGTCTTATTTTCCTAAAGTAGCATACTGAAGAGACACATGGTTGTTATGCCAAAAAAGAAAAATATTAATAGGAGTGATATGAAAATGATCTAGAAGTAAGCTACGTAATTTCCCCCTTGCTGGAACCCTGGCAGAAGTGGTTTATCCCTTCCATAGGAACATGTTGCTTTTTGAGAGAAATAAGAGAGATGAATAAGAAAAAAAGGAAGATGACAAATCATATACAGAGGTCAAATATATGGAGAAATCCACAACTATAGTTAGATCAAAACAGTAGTATAACCAAGGGCCATCTCTCTCTTTCAGTCTCTTTTCATATCATACATACACTTTCCCTCATACAGTAAAAGAAAACTATACAAACTATGAGAAAAATAAAGTTTAAAATATTAATAATTATATAATTTAATTTTTATCCCACCTTTATTAATTTATGTAATTCATTAAAAATTAATCAATTAGTTATAAATATTAATAACAGAAAACTTCAGAATTAGTACAGGACTATAGTTTACAAAAGTTCCAAGAAGAATCGTAACTAACTATTATTCTAGGGTCTGCTACACATGGACTTAAATTTGTCTGAAGGTTCTAGCAGGGCAGCACAGCGCTCAAATAGCCTTGACTGAAAAAGTGGGACAACTCCTCTTGTTTGAGATTGCTGGGATCTTTCACCAAAGGGCACAGTGGGAGGGACACACATGGAGCAGTGAGAGAGGAAGGGGACAGCCCAATCAGCCAAGTCAATCCTGGTGATCCAATGGGGTGATAGAGGTTGCAGCCAGATCAACTGCACATCCAATAACTAATATTCATTCCAAAGCTATAGCTAGTATAATATAATATTGATGTACATGACCATGTACAGTCTTTTGTAATTAGAAAAAAAAATCTCAACTTTTTTTAAAAATAGCTATTTACTGTTATAAAGCATTTTATTCTGTACTATCCCAAAATAAAATAAAAATAAAAGTTGGATAAACTGCCCAAGTACTCACTTTTTGCATCTATGAGCCTTTCCCGTGGAGCAGTATCTGAAGAAGAGAGTTGTTCCTTAACTTTGGCAATATCTTTAGGATGCAGGTAATCAAACAGGCTCTGGCCAATCAGATCGTTCTATCAAGAGAAAATACATACAACTAGTAAAGTCATTATAATCTGCTACGATGCTTTCAGCAAAGAAAAGCATTGGTTTCACTAAGTTTCTTGATATTCAAAGTAGTGGGAAAATAAAATATGATTGCTTAATATATTTCGTACCAATAATAGGCTGATTTATTCATCTGATTTTTATTCTTTTAATTCTGAGGGCCATAGTGATGAAAAGAAAACAAAATATATCAAGAAAAAGACAGCTGACCAAACACGAAACAAAACCAAACAAACCCCCAAAGCCAACCAACTAATAACCAACCAAAGGGAATCATCTCACATCCTAGTTCAGGGCCTCAAAGAACAACCCAATCTTAAATTTGCTAAAAGTCTTTTCAACCGTAAAATGGAGAGGGTCATGATTCTTTAAGCACATATTTGATTGTGTGCATCATTACATTTAGAGTAATATTCCAGATGTTGCTAAACTATAACTTTCAACATTTCTCCCAATTTATAAATATTTTATTTCTGTTTCATCTTCTATTTTTTTTCTTTCAAATCATACAATAGGCAAAAAAATACCTGACTATAATTGAGGATTTTGAAGACAGATTCCGAAACAAAGAGTATCTTCCCTCTGTCACATCCCACAACGAAGAGAAAGCCATCTGCTGCCTAATAGTATATAAAACAATTTTTATATCTTATTTACATATTTTTGAAATTAATTATAAAGTTAAGTGCAACTGAATTACACTGTGTTTTCTCTGAAGATAACAAGAACAAGATTAACACATAATAAAATGCTAAAGCAGATCTGCGTACTTTTTTACTGTCTCAGCAGTGCTATAAACAAAAAAATTAGTATCACATGTCACAGCTAAATATCTAATTAAAAATATATAATCCAGTGACCTTAAACTATATTGATTTAAAAATAAAACAGCAAAAATAGTTTTTCTGTCTTTTTAAAGGTTCCTATGGGGAAATATTTTTGTTATTATCTTTATAAGAGAAAGATTAGGCAATTCATTCTTCCTCCTCTTTCTGTTGTAAATCTTTGCAGATTATTAAAAGCTGCCAGGAGTAGTATGTTTGGAAAGGCCACAGAAACACAGAAGGCAAAATGCCTGATTTTAATTTTATGACTGCTGATAAGATCTGCTTACAGAGAGGAAAAAAGTATTTTTTTTTAAGAAATAGGTCATTTTAATTCATGCTACTTTTGTAAACTGTCATTCTGCATGTTCTGGAAGACATTATATGCCAGGATGACAGAACAAAAGCACAACAATGCAACTGTGATTTCAAATAAACTTCCAAAGTCTCACTCTGTGGACCTGCTGAGGGATTTATTGAACTTTTTCCAATCTAGCCTTTTCCATATTTGTTGTATCTCAGTGGCCCATCAACACCAGTCAATGAAGTCGTTGGGATGACTGGCTGAAGATTACGATAGTTCAACAGATCATCTCAAGAATATCTTATTAGGAAGATCTGACCAAGCTTCCATTACAAACTGAAAGGTGCTTACTGCTTTAGAAAGCAAAGACAGCAATGCCGGTCATATGAAAACAAAAATACAGGTAATCCTGGATTTATGACTGTAATTGAGCCTGGAATTATCATTGTAAGTTATGCTGGTCGTTAAGTGAATCAACACAGTGACAGCCTGATTTTATGACTTTTTTTGCTGAAGTTGTTGAATGAATCACCGCAGTCATTATACAAATCTATTATGCACAATGGCTGTTTTTTGCTGTAAATTGGAGGTAAATGCCATTTCCAGTAAAAAAAAAAAAATGTAAATCAATGACTACCAGATGCTACAAACAGCTAAAAATGCGGGATAGTTGCCAAATGGCCAAAATGTGATCACTTGACTCTTGTTGGGAGCCTGGCTATCAGAACTTTGAATCCAGCTTGTTAGTAGTCCTGGAGAAGTCTATTATAACTTTGAACAGTCACTAAGCAACTGGTCAAGGACTACCTATAAAATACAATCAATGTATTATTAGTGTTAGGCCAATTCAAGGATTCAAAAATGATCTGTGTGTGTTTGTCTGCCTTAACCTTTGAGGATGGCTATTGTGCACTCTACAAAAATCTCTTCAGATGCTCTGCACAGCTATAATAAAAACCTCTTTTTATGATGAAAAAAACCCGAACTGTATTAACATTAATATGCTAAAACAAGAGCACTGTGGATTTTCCAGTAAAGTGGGATTCTAACTTCGAAGCCAATAAACCAACTCAGAGGGAGAATGTTGACAAACATTTTGAAAAAGGTTCCAAAGAGGTGTTTTGGAACTGGGGCAAGTGCAGTGTCTATTTTACTACTCATCAAAGTAGTTAGATGGCTTATTAATGAATAGAGGAGAGAAGTTATATTAGCATCCAGTAAAGTAGAATATTTGTAGCTCAGGTTAAAATGAGGGGTCGTTGGTGCTCTCTGATCTTGCTTGTTTTCTTACAGACATTTCATTACCCAAACTAGGTAACATCATCAGTGCTACTACGGGGTGCTTTTTGCATCCATTCTTTGCTCGCCCCACATTCTTTGAAAACCAACTCTAAATAATTTGCCCTGACAAGGCAACCAATAAAAAGGGGACCAAGGTTTTTGTTTAGAGCATCCACCTGTTACTTTGAAAGAAACTGCAGTCAGTGTGTCTGGTAAAAGAAAATCTTCTCTTTCATCACCCTTTATGACACATTCATGTAGCTGAAGCTTATACATACCCTAAGAATTAGATGCTTTAATTCATCATCTGAGAGAAAAGCAGGTTTGTAGTTTGCTTCAGTGTATGGATTTGTAGCACCTTAAGGCAAAAGAAAAATATTTTAAGTAAACAATCTTATCATGTTAATGTGGAACATGTGTTAAGCTCCCATGTATGCAGCTATGCTCAGTATCTTAAAGCTATTTTCAGTATCCTCTGCTTGAAACTCTAAAATAAATTTGATGTTTTTCATAAATCACCAAGCTACATTTTAATATTTTTAGTTTGAAATCAGTGTATTCAATAATACCATGATGAACTGTCATATTTATTTTGTACCTTTCAACAACAGGAAACTATTACTAGCTAATCTGAAACTCAAAGAAAACAGCAGCTAAGAATATTTTCTCAGTCACACACTCTTTAGCTATCTTCAGGCAAGCCACCATTCTCCCAGTAGGTTTTTACAAGAGGGAAAGCTAATGCTGGCCCTTCTGACTGTAGCCTTCCAAGTGTTCCTGAAATACTCATCCAAAGTGGTTTGATTATTCAAAAGGACTCAAAAAATTCTCGGTACCTAAAACTCATATATGGAATCATTCTATCTACACATTTATTTCAAACTTACCTCGTAAAGTCTTCATGTGCTGAACCGCCATTCTCAGAACAGTAAGTTTATCTAGCTTTCTGGACATAGCATTGCACGTTGGCACTAAAGAAGCCAATTCATCAATAAAGCTGTTCATCTTATCACGACGCCGTTTTTCAATCTGACTGTGAGCCTCTCTAAGCAATCATGAAATAAAAACCATGACATACTCAGCACCCAATGTTATAATTCAGTTCTTATCTATAGTATTTGTAGGACATGGTTATGAATGTTTGGAGGTTTTTTTATACATATGTATTTAATTTATGGGCTGCCCATTGGAGCTGAGCAGCTAATACATGTAAATAAATAAATAAATAGATTGCACTGGGCTCAAAAGCTTGATCAAGTCTGAAACAAATTGCATAGGGAAAAATAAGCCTTGAATAACTTCCCACAGCATTCTCAACAAATCAGGAGCAGATATTATATACTGCAAGATGAACATTAATGAATTCATGGCAAATTGTGATCGCCATTATTTTTATAAATCACACTTTAAATTATGACTTATTTTCCATGGTTAATTCGATTCTTTTTTTCCCAGATTATAAAAATTCTTTTAAAACTGCTATCTAATGATTGGACACAGTTAAGGGAGCTATCTGCAAAACAGATTGCCAATGTGAGCTATTTTAAGAGCTGATGACTGAAGACTGTTGTGCCCAATAAGTAAATACAAGTAGAATATTTTTTCAAATATAGTAATATATTCTTATATTGTCTAAAAATATAAATTAGTACTGATGAATATAAAATCTTTGTAATTAAAAAAAACAAGCATGAAACTCCATTTAGGAATACATCTAAAAGATCTGCATTTATTGCAACTGATAACTATAAAGATTCTTATTACCATACCTTGCATTTTTTATTCTGCCTTGTTGGTCTGTATATTCCAACCTAGTGGAAAGCAAAGTGACAGAAGTTAGATTTGATAGCAGCTCTCTATTTATAATGCAGCAGGAGAAAGGCGGCATCAAAAGAAAGTGATACTCAAAGCCTCACTGAATACGTGGCACTAGATGCAATGTCACTGATGTTATTTCAATTTCAAAAGGATCGCTATGTATATTCTCTCACCAACATTACCATTTCTTTCTCATTGGGTATTCTATTGGGATTTGACACTCCAGTACTATTAATCTGGTCCTTTGAACATTCCTAGATTCCCAGAGATCCTAACTATAATCCACATGGAGCAAAACCATCCTTTTATCTCCAGAATAATCAAAACGTTATACTTTTGGAAAAGTTTTTTGGGAAAAAAAAGCTTTTCCAAAATCCAATCAATTTGTCAGTGATGAACCAATAAATACCTTCCATGTTGATCATCCTTATCAGTATCCATGCCTTCGCTATAAAATCAAAACAAAAGAAAAATCAACATGACACTAAATGAGGTAAAAATTGTAACTTTTTATACCATGTTGGTAAAACACAAACATTCATATCATTGGAATCAAATGTTATGATACAGTGAATATATAAATTGTATTGGGAAATAAACTGTTGAGATGCCATGGACAGCCTTTTATTCCCCAAATAGCTAAACTTGCCCATACTGTTTAATACTCCGATGCATTCTTTTTATTAACTAAAAGAATGAAAAACCATGTTTAGCAGACGAGATCAATGAAAATCAAATAAATATTAATATTGATGGTTGCCACCAAAAAACAGCAGGGTTATCTCTAGTTTTGGCTCCATCTGGGTAGTATATTTTGTTTTGCAGCAATGCAATGCAATGCAATACTTCATGCTTCTGCTGCCATCAACAATAATCAGTGCTGGATTGTTGTTAAGGATGGTATATATGAATTAAAGCAAGGGGGTTTATGTTTCCCCTCAAAAAATATAACAATGAGGCACACACTCCATTACTATTTGCAGCAGCAGATTCATTTAGCTCAATAGAATTAATGCCTAAACAAATATATAGCACTCATTCAATTAAGAATGAATACTATACGTTCTATATGTGTAGTACTTTCTACTCTCTAATTTGTAAAACATTTAAGTTTTTCATTGATAGTTCATCTTTAAGAAAAAAAAATCAAAGTAACCATCTTGGTCCAGTCCAAATGATGAAACAGACAGTCCAAAACTCAGTAAGCCTTTATATCAAAGGCATGGCTAAAAATGGGAAAACTCAATAAGAAAATGAGAAAGATTTGGGTAGGTTTTCCTGTCCCTACTCCCTCAGTAAAAAGAAGGGAAGACCAAGAAGTGGAAAATTTCCCTCTTATCTGTAGCTTTGGCATGCCTAGTGTGATTTTATATTATTACCAGAACATGAAACCTATTATGTGGTGCATATTGTACTGTATATTGCAGGAAGAAAACAATTTTCATAATTCTTGTAAGATTAGCTATTAAATTTTCTAGTCCCCAGGAAATATACAATAGATGTTTATCTTTCTCTCTTGTCAATATTCAGACACTGGATGTTAAGCAGCACAAATAACAACTGTGGGTAAAGATTTAGTTATATAAACCTCTGCATTATATTTTTGCAGGATCCAGTATGGATCGGTCACCGGGACTAGAGACTTAATCTTCTGAGCTTTTGGACTTGTGCTGGTGCCCATCCTCAGAGAACTTCTCTCTCACCAGAATGTGTGCTTTAGGCTATTTTATGGATATTATTTATATAGTTCTTGGGTGTGTGTGTCTTTTTATTAGTTGAGTAGGGTGTTGATGGGTGTTGACGTATATTTTAATATTTATTACTAGCTGTACCCGGCCATGCGTTGCTGTGGCTCAGTCTGATTAGCATGTGTTGCTTTTACGTCCAACAGATGGCGCTGTTTTTCAAAAAAGCATGTTTTTACCTGTCACAGGTGTGACATCTATATAATAGTAGGTATATAAAAACACGCGCGTATTCAAATGCAATGTTGTGTCAAAATTTCAAAGCAATCGGTGAAGAACTTTCGGAGATTTAAGATTTTGAACAAACGAACATTTACATTTTTATTTATATAGATAATAGTCATTTTAATATATTACTGAAATATTAAAATTGTTTTGAAATGCTGAATTGTTTATTCCTTTCAATTCATTAATACTCACCAACCCCCAAGATTCCAACAACATAAAATGGTTTTTATAAACCTGTTTCTTTGAAATTCCTTCCTTATTAAATTATATTCCCTCTACAACAGTTCAAAGTACGATTTGGAATATGGCTTTAAAGACTAACTATGGTATTCAATCTGGAAAAGTCTGCATATCCCCGGTCTAGCTCAAGTGTTAGAAAATGGGGGGGGGGGGGGGGTAAAGAAAGCAGTAATTTTGTGTTTGTTTGTTTTTTAAAAAAAATATTACATGTCTGTGGAAAACAGAATGGGGATTAAATTGTTGAAAGGAAGTCTAGAACAGAAATGAAATACATAGATAAATGTTCTGCTGTCAACGGTGTCTACCCACAATAATTCATTAACCTCTTTTTTTAATCCTAAATCTTTAGAAAACTATTCAGAACATAAGAAAAAGAGAAAACTTATTTTCTAGAGATTTCTTAGAGATCTATAAAACAAATGTGAATGAAACACTGGAGATTACATTACAACTTACAGGGATGTGTGTGATCCCCAAATTGCAGGTCCAGCATTTTCTAAACTAGATAATGATTTAGAAACTATTAGGAACATAAAGCTAACAATTCAACTGCAACCAACATTTGTTTAAACTGAAACTTTTCCTATCTGTTGTACATGCTCCCAAGTATTTGCTTTTTAAAAGTATTGTATCAGGCTTATAAAATTTAATGCTACTGAATCTATTTCACACTGTTCTTATTTGAGGTACTTTTAAATAGTCAATTCTATAATAAGATTTCCCCACCATCACACAATTTTATACTTACTCAAAAGAAAACCCATCGAGTCTGAAAAGAGATAAATTGTACATTATACTATTAATAAAAATGTCTATTGGCATACTGCCCACATATATATATATACACACATTATGAAAATACTTTATTTTTGCTACATTTGTTCCAACTGTGAAAATTGTACAACTGGAACAGTGACAATATCTTTAATTTTATTTTTAACTATTTTCAACATTGAAGTTTGGTATAGTGCAGTGGTGGCGAACCTATGGCACGGGTGCCAAAGGCGGCACGCAGAGCCCTCTCTGTGGGCACGCGCGCCGTCGCCCCAGTCCTAGACCTTCAGCTGGGTTTTACAAAACCTTTTCGCTTTAGGCCTCCGACGCCGTGTGCAAAAAAAAAAAAAAAAGGTTCAATCAATCAGTCAATTTCAACTTCTCGCGGGGAAAAAAAAGATCTTGCAAAGTTGGAATTGATTGATTGAACTTTTTAGTCCCACCCAATCTGCCATTACCACTGCAGCCACGCCCACCCAATGGGCCACGCCCACCCAATGGGCCACACCCACCCGGCACTCGACGATGCACAAGTGGGTTTTGGGTTGCAGTTTGGGCACTCGGCCTCTAAAAGGTTCGCCATCACTGGTATAGTGGTTGAGGCATCAGACTAGAAACCAGGAGAGTTCTAGTCCCATCTTAGGCACAAAGCCAGCTAGATGATCTTGAGCCAGTCACTTTCTCTCAGATCTAGGAAGGAGGCAGTTCCAAGCCACTTCTTGCCCAGAAAAGTGCTTGGAACTGCCTCCTTCCTAGATTGTCTTGTCCAGACAATCTCCAAGAATCAGACATAAAGTCTCAGATAATTTTTTGTTCTTTAATACAGACATTTGAGATTGGGACTTCTTATACAAGGTTTGCAAAGCAAACATATTTACTTTGGTATATTTTGGATTAATAGATCCATGCTGGCACTTTATACAGGTTGAGGAAGACCTAATAGTTTTTGCTGAAAGTAAGGTGCAAATGCCAAAACAGAAGTGCATTACAAAGTCAAGGCACAGCTGAAGTGTGATATGGGTTGGAAACACTTACTGGTAATCAGTAGAACTTCCTTTCCTTTTCCTGTTACAATCCATTCCTGAAGAGTTAAGAGAACTAGAGATCAAATCAGTGGGACCAGGTGACATAAAATCACTGATCGTGGAGGTAATGTCCATCCTTTGGTCAGCCATTGGATTGCCTAGAATTATTAAGAGGGAAACACTAAAGGATTACATCACAAAAAAGACAGTTGTTTGTATAGTTACCTAGTCTTTTGTATTCTAATGCTCAGTTGATTTGTTATTTCATCTCTTAGCATTACTGTGCATCAAACAGGAAAGTAATGTTCTTCACCTGCTAGAACAAAGCTTCCCAAACCTGGGTAAATTACACAAAATTGGGTAAAAGTGGTTTTTCTTTGGGTTACGACACACGCACCCATTATCCAATCACAACAGGAACATTTAAATTGATTTAAAGTGTTTTAATTACATTGGGTAAAAAGGACTTTTTGATAAGCACTTTGGAGTAACAAAGGAAAAAATGGGTAAATTCTGCGCTAGAAGGAACAGTTAAGAAGAAGTCCCATTCTACATCATGCTCCCCTATATGCTCTTGGGGAGCTCACAAACAAGAGATTATTTATGTCCCAAAGGCTCTAACTATGGACATTTGATTATAGCTGCTAATGATCGATCTGTCATTTTTAACACTGTAATGCCAATAGATAAGTTGGCTGACCCAGGGTCCATTCATAGTTCATAACTGACCTTGGGAAACACATATATATCACTTAAGTCAAATTCTCATGCTCTTGGGACAAATGCTGAACACAGATGTACTTTGTAAAAAACAAACAAAAAAACAGGTGAACCTGGCAAGAGCTGGGTTATTCTTTTTATGAAATATTTTAGCTGTCACAAGATTTTTTTGTTGATGTTATTTCTATCATATTATGCGATCCAGGGTGGTGTCAAGGTTAAAGGTGCCGGACTAGAAACCAGGTGATTGTGTGTTCTAATCCTGCTTTAGTCATGGAAGCCAGCTGGATGACACTGGACCAGTTCCTTTCTCTAACCCTAGGAAGAATCCTAGAAAAGATTTATGAAAAATGTTGTCAAGAAAATAGTGTGGATTTGTCTATGGAGTTGCCAAGAATAAAATCTGACTTAAATATAAATATAAATATAAACAAAAGTATCAGTTGATAAACTGAAGCTAGGGTAACAGGGTTATGGTATGAAACACTTATGAATTTACCAAAGTTGAAGTAGCATAACAAGCTCCTATTCCTAACAAGGGTGCCTGAAGCTCTTGGAATGCACTGAGTAATTATTTGATGTCTCTAATTAAGAAATAAAAGAAGACAAAACAACAACACTGGACTCGTAAGAGAAAACAACACAGGAAAAAAAATAACTTTTAAAGTTCCAAATAAATTTAAAGGGAGAAAAAGTGGGGCAATACAATTAATTTTAATTAGTTTCAGCTAACATCTGAAAAAGAGACATTCTCTTTCTGTGAAAGAAACGATAGAGCAGTGGTTAAGTTTGTGGCTCTGCTTACCTGTAAGCCTGATCTCTTTAATCCTAGAATCACTCTGCAAAGATGTGCTGTTCTACTGTTGCCAAAGGCAAAGCAACCCAGTTACCTTAACTGTCCTTTCATTTCCTCCAGTCTTGCTCGTCAACACTTTCAAGGTGCCTCTGTGCTAAGAAAACAAATATCATGCTGTCAATTTACTACCACCAAATCACTGGATATAGTCTTTGACCTTTAAACAAACAAACAAACAAACAAACTAGAATTTTTCTCCATAAATTAAAGCAAGCCATATGGTCAAAAGTACAACAAGACCTCAGTTAAGACTCTCACTTTATATGAGTTTCACAGAACCATGTTAAATTAAGAGTTGCTTACATATTGGTTGCTTTTGCTGACTTGAAACTATGCCAATAAAATCTACTAACTCACTACTAATCTCTAGCTGGGCACTTTCCACAGCCAGAAAAAGAAAGAAAAGAAATCATGCTTACAAAACCTATTCATGGAGGAGATTTTGTTCTGCATTACAGAGGAGAGCCTGGGCGTAAGAGAACCTTTCTCAACTTTAGGCTGGTATTTGTAGGATCTTTCTGCTGGTACTGGAGTTAGATGAAATAACTCACTGCATGGAATTAAAGGTGTAATAAACAAAGCTGAGGTCTTCCATTAATACAAAGAGGTTTTCTTCTCTATTGCTTCCCACCCTTAATTTGCACCAAGGAAAAGACTGCTCTTCTGGGCAGGCTGCAAAAGGAATTCCCTTCTTCCTGACCATCGACCATCGAAAATAATCCAAGATACCCAAGTGTTTCATAAAGTAGGTGCATATATTCAAGCAATCAGAGGTATGCTCAGACTCTTATTGAGAAGCAACAGATCCATGACTTTTTCCTAAAGGGTGGTTTCAAGAGCTTGTTTTTTTCTCATACTCTAGTGTGTTTAGCGTATTTGATATGCATAGTGCAGTGATGGCGAACCTTTTAGAGACCGAGTGCCCAAACTGCAACCCAAAACCCACTTATTTATCGCCGGGTGCCAGGTGGGCGTGGTGGGGTGGTCATGGCAGATTGGGTGGGTGTGGCCAAGGTGGGCCTGATCACCTCGATGTTGCTCCTGGGGAGGGATGTCTGTGGGGACCGGGCAGGGTTGGGGGAGATCCAGGGGGTCTCTGGCAGGTGGGGCAGTGGGCAGGAGGCTCGTCCTGCGGGGTGAGGCGAGGCAAGGCAAGGCAAGGCAGGGCGGTGGTGCCATTGTCACAGGGCAAGGTGAGGCAGGGGCCGGGGTGGCTGCTGCCTGAAACCATCGGCCCGCACACACAGAGGCCAGTGAGCGCATGGGTGTGGGATACATCCGGCCATGTGGGACCTCGGCAAGTTAGCGGGCGGCTGGTTGAAGAGGGATGGTTGCCATCTCCAGGGCACGGCGTGCGTGCCCACAGAGAGGGCTCTGAGTGCCGCCTCTGGCACCCGTGCCATAGGTTCGCCACCACTGGCATAGTGTATCTTGATACCTCATAATAATAATAAATCAATATATTTGATATACATACAAAGTAAATGAAATGCTGCCTGCAATTCATTTTAATGCGAAACAAAATTGCACAGAGCGTCAGATCAATTTATTTATGTTATCTTAGATCTGTACAAACACGAGATATTTATATACTTCTATATTTAATGGATTTACAAGGCCACCCAAATGAAATGTGACTCCACAACAAAAATAAACGATAAACAGAAGATATAAAATCTTTGCTAGGAAATCCCCGTTTTTCTTCCTCCAGTTTTGCTGAGAATGGTTTTAAAAAGATAAAGGCGGGATTACTAAAATTTCCAAATGAAATGTTTCCCATTACTACCTGGGAGGTCTTCTAAATGCCAAAAACACTTACATGAATTATTTTTAGAGGTAACCTTGGGCATCAGTTTTAAAGAGATTAGCATTTCGTGCCTTGCCTAATGCATATTTTACAGGCATACACACCCTGGCAGCTCAATAACTTCATATGAATATTGCAAAAAAACCTGCAATGCTAACTAACTGCATTCCATATTTACATACTGATACAAAATCTAAACAACATTCCATTAAAATATGATCTAGCCTTGTTACCAACACTGTTCTCCACTACTTATACTACATTTTAACACCAGTTAATTCTAACCCTTCATTAGATTTTATCATATTGGATTTTAAAATAAGTATGATTGCTGCCAAGAAATACAAATTGAGCCTGTAAGCCTGACATTCTTATTTAAGCTTTACCACTTGTTTATTTGATACACCAATATAGTAATTATATATACTAAATTGGATCTAAATCTTTTGTTCCAAGAAAGAAAAAAAGGGCTCCAATCTACTTAAGTAAGCCTAACACAGAAGATCTTTTAATTAATTATTTTCAAAGAATGAACAGGAAGAACAATTTATTCCTATTTCCTTTTCCCCCGTAGGACCCTAAAACATATTGTCCTATCAGGTTGCTCAGTATAGGCCAGTGATGGCGAACCTTTTAGAGACCAAGTGCCCAAACTTCAAACCAAAACCCACTTATGTATTGCTGGGTGCCGGGTGGGCATGGCCGCTGGGTGGGCGTGGCCCGCTAGGTGGGCGCAGCTACAGTGGTCATGACAGATAGATGGGCATGGCCAGCTCAATGTTGCTCCTGGGGAGGGACGCCTGTGGGGGTCGGGCAGAGTTGGGGGAAATCCAGGGGTCTCTGGCGGGTGGGGTGGTGGGCAGGAGGCTGGTTCTGTGGGGTGAGGCAAGGCAGAGCGGGGGTGCCATATCGCAGGGCAAGGCAAGGCAAGGCAGGGGCCAGGGCAGCTGCTGCCTGACACCATAGGCCCCTGCACACAGAGGCCAGCAAGCGCATGGGTGCTGGGATGCATCCGGCCACGTGGGACCTCGGCGAGTTAGCAGGTGGCTGGTTGAAAAGGATGGTTGCCATCTCCGGGGCATGGCACGCATGCCCACAGAGAGGGCTCCGAATGCCACCTCTGGCATGTGTGCCAAAGGTTCGCCACCACTGGTATAAGCAGTCATGAGTTAATGACCCCTCATTCAACACCAGTTCAAAGTTATGACAGCACTGAACAAATGGTAGTTACAGCAATTGCAGCATCCCGGTTATGATCAAAATTCATGTTCTTGGCAACCTGCCCACACGTAGGACCACAGAGGCACTTCGATTCTCCCCACCTGCTTATCTAACCCTCCCATCTCTGTCCTTTTGGCCGTCCTGCCACTCTGCCATCTTTGCTGGCCCAACTACCCTGCACCCCACTGGCCCTGCTGCTTCAAGCCTAGCAAGAAGGCCCCATGCAATCAGGATAAGGCTTCATGGGAAGAAGGTTAGCAATGGGAGGAAGAAGTAAAGAACAGCTAGGGCCTGCATAGCTGGCAGAATCACTGGAGTGTAGGGCAGCAGGGAGTGGAGCACAGAGCCAGACATGTGGCAGAGCAAACAGAGTGCATGGCAGCCAAAGGGGCACAGATGGGGGGAGATAGGCAGATGGGGGGAGTTGAAGAGGAGGAAGTTCCAACTGAGTCTTGAGGTTGGGTAGGATCAAGCCAGAAATGGCTTGGATTGGGATAGTCCTTGCCTAATCACCGAGTGGCATTCAGTTAATGAGACAAACTAGGACTGCTGGGATTGCAGTCATTAAGTAATGTGATCACTTGATGTCATACTTTACGAGGACATTACTTAGCGAAAGAAATTCTGGTCCCAATTACTGATGTTAAACAAGGATTATCTATACTCTCAAATAGAGTTCACGGGTAGGGCTGGGCTGCAGAAAAAAGACTGCATCAATGAAAATTACTCTCCTTCATCCCCACTGTGTAAGAATGTCCAGCCTGCAGAGCTTATTCAACTATGGATCATATTTATTATTCAGCAGATTTAACTCGAATATCAACTCACATAATCTAATTTTCCCTTTAAAAATTCCCTACAAAACTCAAGTATTTATTATGGATCTTAGCTACAATTCCAAGATTTCATATAAATTCTCCCACACACCACATTCTCAGAGTTCCACAGTTCCTTCTTTCCACCATTGTTCTAAAGCGATCCATGACATACATTGAGTGCACTGAGCTTTGGCCAAGGCCACACCCTAAATTATCAGAGATGTGAATCTTTTTCCCTACAACTCCCAGAATTCTTAGTCATAACTTCAGGGAAAAACTACACCAATATTTAATTATTTTATTGTCACTCAAAGTGAAAACCATACATTTTTCAAAATCCAGTTTCAGGTAATCTTAAAAAGTATTCCTTCTGTGATTTGTAACTCGATAAATTGTTTACAATCTCTGCTGTGGTTTATTTTAAATGAGGAGGCAACAGCTGTCCACTTTATTGTACTGTAATGAGATGTGATGCTGTGAATAGATTTATTCCTCTTGTTTATTGAAGCACTATAAAAATACTCTGAAAATGAGGCAACGTTTGCCTGCTGTAACAGACTGCAAAAACACCCTTTAACTTTCTTCATGTTGTGACCAAACCTTGTTGCCAAGATACTTCCAAGGACATTCTCACACAAGAACACTGCTATTCTCTCCTCAGTGCTTCATCTTAAATGTTACGTTTTTTGAGAGAGAAATAGATAAATAAAGGGCCAAGACACTTTATGCTGTCTTGGCCCTTTATTTATCTATATATGCTGTCTTCCTCCTCCCCCCTTCCCCACACTGAAAGCAGCCAGTGGCTTGATTTGGGGCTTCTTGTTTAGAGACTGCCTCTTTTCACAGAATCATGCAGCAAATCAGATCATAAGCACCACAAGCATCAAAACCGGAGCCGCCCAGGGTTCAATTCAAAATGGGCAGCTATATAAGCGTTTTAAATAAATAAAATAAACATCCCACTGAGCAAATCAAGGTCAGAACCACAACCATGAAAAGCCTGCCAAGACCCCTTCTAAGTAGTAGCATTTCAACAGGCAATGTATAGACCTCTCCTCCTGCCTAAGAAGAACGTTCATTATCGGCATCCAACAAGACCAAATTCTCAAACCCACTAACCACAAAAACAGTATTTGTTAAATACTATACCAGCAATGTCTGCAGGACAGCCTTTCAGACAAGGAATTCAGCAGCAATGAAATATATGCAGGGGGTTTCACTGTATGCACTGACATGAAGATGAAAAGC